TTTTTTTAATCGTTTATGCTAGAAATTTTTTTTTGTTTTAACAAACAAAATAAATAAAAATAAAAATAAATTTTTTATTTTAAATTTATCCAACAATCTATTATTTATTTTAGACAATTTATATTGGAGTTTTTCATATATATTTTTTTCAAATATCCAACGTAAAAATCACCGATTCGATAACTTGATCCCGATGCGAAGAATCTATTTCCCTTACCTTTGTTCAAGAGAATCAGTTCGGTTGGATTTATAACCACTGTCATTGAGGCTGCCCTCGTGTCTCAGAGAAGGAAGAGAATCCCAGGGTGATTCTCTCTTGTATCCTGAATACCCTGGATTTATCGAACTCGAAGCACCAGAGCCGAGAGTTGAGCTGCCGGATTGCCATCCGTCAGAATGCCGAAACCATTGTGCACGCGCGGATTCCCCGATGCAGCTGGCGCATCTGTAAGCATCGTAACAGATGAGTGTGTTATGTGCAATATATTATTAATCTCATTTATCAAAATGACTCAATAAAATTATCATTTTCATTAAAATACTTTCATAAAAAAGATTTATGTATCAATTTGTATAATTGGTGTATAATTGATATATAATTGATATATAATTGATATAATATTAATAAAGCATTTTTTTAAAGAATTATATATATATATATATATATATATATATATATTTATTTATTTATTATAACAGTTAATAATTATTAATAACAAAAATTTTAAGCTTAAATAATTTATTTAATTTATATAATTCCATATCAAGATTGCTTAAAAATATTAAAATACTATTTTATTTATTGATTAAATTATTAATAAATATTATTGATTAAATTATTAAAATACATTAAACTAATATTTCATTTGTACGATATATGTATTTCGATATTCTCGAAAAATTAATCAAGAAATATATCGAAAAAATATATTTTTATTTCGCAAAAAAGTATCTGAAAGAAATTAAATGTAACTCCGCATAGAGTACACACGGATATGCAATACCGTGCAGGTATAGGCGATAAATCGGAGCATGGTATGCCTAATGGTATCTTCGCATCATCCTCTTCAAGTAATTGGAACTTTACGTGTTTCTTATTCTGCGATTGATTTCCAAATCCGTCATCCAGAATACGATAGAAAATTTTTTCCGGCAATTTTGGCATCTTCGGCATCTTCTTCGACTCTCGCCTCTCGAGCGATCGGTATCTGCGCTGTAGACTGTGACGATAATTCATTGTTGCGATTTCAACGTTTCGTATCGTGTATTAGATCAGTATTTGCGATCACAATGGTAATCAGCTGGATAATTAGTTTAGCATTTGCACTCGGAAACGAAAGGATAATTATCGCCGGTGCATGAAAATGATCGCTGTTTGCGCTTGCACAGCAACAGCAAAATAATTATTTCCCCTACAATTTTCGCACGATCGACAATCACGTGCGGCGCAACTGAATAATTATTTTCGTCGCACACAAAGATATCAATGTTTACGTCCATAACAAGCGAAATAATTATTAATTTATGTTTTCACGCGATTGACAATTGTGCTGATTATTCTCATTGGTTCGGATTGAAAATTATTTCCATCCAGGTCTCTTTAATAACGATGAAATGAATATTTCGTCATCCTTTTATTCTTTTTAAATTTATTCGCAAAATTATTTCCATCTCTAATTAGTAATGACATGATTAATATGTCCTTGAATTTGATTTCAAAATTATCCTCGTTTAAATATTCTCATCGACAATGAGATAAATATTATTCGAAAAAAATGTCCAAGCAATTTCATTTATATATAATATTTCTATTCTCAGAAGTTGATACTTTTTTCAATTTGCTTTTTTTCACTTCGCACTTTTATCTACCATCATGCAGTACACATGTAACTGCATTGTGCGATTTTAGCGTCACGATTAAGAACATGGATGATTTATTAGAGTTGTCTTTTCGTATTTCACATTTTCGTTTACCAGAAATTCATGCGACACATAGTAACTGCACATAGCGCATCTTCATATCGCTCGGATAATTCATCATGTCGCACTATAAGAGCTATATATTCATATAAGAGTATCGGGCAGGAAGTGCGCAATCCTCTTCTTATCGCGAGACCACCAAGTATCTCGTCGTTCAAGATGCGTTTTGCACTTTAATGCACTGCCAGGAGCACACGCAAAATCTCATCGCGCGTTTTGTCGTTTCTTTCTTGTTTACGCGACTACGAGAAACACCCTTCTTCTCTTCGTCCAGCTGAGAATCGAAGCCCACTCGCGAGATTTCTATATTTACTACGATGCGGCTCGCTGCTGTCAGTCGCCGCCTTCGCTGACCCGTAATGCACAACGCGCCGGCGGCCGGGGATGATGATGCATGCGCCGAGCGCTGTATCGAGAGGCGTCCCTTCGAGAAGACTTCGATAGTCACCACGCGACGCGCGTCGCCTATCAATATAGCTTCATAGCGCACGGTGTAATAATTTTTTTCCTTTCTTTTTTTTTATACCGCCCGCGCGAAGGCTATATCGATAGACGATAACCACATCCGGTGATATTATCCAGGTCGTCCTTAATGGACGAGAGCACGTCTCATCGATCGTCACTGTTCTTGTATATGGCGGTCATAGGGCACAACCCTTTAAATGTCAAAGTCTCCCAACGATGACTTTCGCGCCTTTTTCGATGCGGACCCTTCAACGACCGAAGGGTCGATGGGGCTATTATCGCAACCGTGTTAATTAACGTTGTACTACTTGGCACGAGAGGTATTTCAATGGAGCAGATAAAAGACGTCGGAGTGAATCAATTTCACAATTAACTCACATAAAAATTGAAAAGAAATATTATTAGAAATATTTTAAATGTCTATTAAATATCTTTTTCTATCTTTTGTTATTCTTTCTTGGAATTTTCTGAACTTCTGCTCTTTGGTATTAAAAAAAATAATTTCAAATATAGAATCTAATTAAATCTCTTTCATTCTTCTAATTAAATATCTTTCATTGATCATCTCATATTTGTTATTAAAAATAATTTTATTGAATAATTGAGAAAGAGAATAAGATTTTATAAATTTCATGATACTTTCCATACTATATTTAAATTAAATGTATAATTTAAGGATTCACATACAATCTTTATATTCAAGATTATATATAAAAAATATTTTGAAGTTGAGAAAGCCTATATATATATTATATAAGCCTATATATTCTCTTATCTCTAATTATAAAAATATGTGTGCGTGAGTAAGATTTGCGATTTATTTATTCCTTGCACCATTCATTTTTGCGTTTTATTGTGATATGGAAACTCAATAAATTTAATTGACGCTTAAAATCTTTTACGCGAAGAGTAATATTAATAAAAATTTAAGAAGTAATTTACCTAGAATTGTAGTCGCTGAGATAGCCACGATCTCGATCAGAATCTCGCTCTCTCTTCTCTCTCACCATCTCATTACGATCGCTATAATAGCCGTCTCGATCCTTGCTATTTTGTCTTTCATTGCAATAGCGATACGATAGTGGCAGAGTGGACGATTTATTGGAATTGGAACCTGCAATCACGATAATTTGATTAGGAACAAAAAATATAGAATTCTATCCAAATATTTTCAATTTTCATCATATATTCAACTTACGTCTTCGTGAAACATGAGGTGTACGCTGAACATTCAACGGTATGTTTTCTGCAAATTCTGGAAAATATAAAAAATTCTCTTTTTAATAAAACTTTTATTTATAATTATATATATGTATAATTTCTCGTAAAATTAATTACTTCAATGATTTTATCAGCTTAATATATTGATAAAAGGTTAAAGCTAAAGTTTAATTAGTCCGTTCACTTGAAAAGAACAAGGGTCGATGAGATAAAAATTATATGACAAAAACTATATTTCTTGATTACTGAAATAGCGTATAATTTATTCACCCAAAATTTAATTCATTATATAACTATAATCAAAATATCAAAATATTGTAAAAATCTTACCAAATGTTTATTCATTCATTTATTGATTTCTTGCAAAATAAAATAAAATTCTTAAGTGAAGCTCCGCATTAGCCGACAATTATTAAAAAGAATTTTTTCATCTCATGAATAAAAAATCAAAGCTAATATAATATTAATTTCCAATTGATATGCAAAATTTCTATACATTTTTTATATAATTTTTTATTACGAATTAAGTTAATTGATTGTTAAAGAGTTAATTGTTGTAATCATAATCTGGCCTTTTTAGTATTGAAGCTTAAACGGAGTCTTACCCAAGTTTTCCATGCTCTGCGTGAGCAAAGCCTCAAACGTACGTAGGCTGTAACTTTCCGCGTCCATACCCTTGGCCAGAGTATTCCTGAGATGCATCTCATACTCGAGAAGGAGCCGGCTAGTTGGACTGCCCGGAGTCGACACCGATTGCATATTCTGCTGCTGATATGTCTGACCGCCGTTACAACGACGGGAGTTACAATGATTCGGCTGCTCCATGTCAGAGTTTCCGTTCGATGAACTTGGCGTGGTAGCGTAGCATTGGTTGTCGAAGATGACATTGTCCGAAGGCGGCGACATGTCACCTGTGCACCGATTACGTTCCGAATCTAAGTACGTCCTGCTTCTGCCGCCTGCGAGCAGAGAGGTGCAACCAAGAGTGCAAGGTGGAATATGTGATGAGTCGTGCGATGGTCCATTAATTAACGGACAAAGGAGACGTATGTCAGTTAGTCAAACTTGGCGAACACGTAACTCGAGAAGTGGTCCATCCGAGAATGAGCCATGAGGCTGCCGTTGAGCTGACAAGACGACCACGTCGTCGACCTTTAGTGCGCATGTTATGTAAGAAGGTTAGAAGCAAAACGAAATGTTAGGGGTGTCGCAAGTGGTGGTGGATGACCCTGTGACTTTCATCAGGGTGGAGCTGGCTACATTCTGGTTCGCTCTGTGCGCATGTTAAGTTATGCCGAGGGTGTAGCTAAAGGTTAGAGGTATACCGCGGATAGACGTCAGAAATCAGTTGCTGGTTAATTTTAAGAGACTTCTTACGATGTTATGCGTTCGCCAGAATTATACAATGACAGACAAAGAATGACATCATATATCGATTACGTAATTTTCAGTATGGACTTTGTTATTTTTCTTTTTTAGAATTTTTTAAATTACATTTTAATTTCATCGTTTTTTTGCGGTAAATAAAAATCATGTTATAACAATATCTATAGCGCAGAAAAAACGTGTAAAAATTACTTTTTTATAAGAAAATTATGTAATCGATTTTCTCTGGTTCTTTTTTTGCCGCTTTCATTGTTAAAATATTTTTGAAAGTTTTACATATTTTATCTTTTAGAATTTTAAGAGATATTTTTGTTTAAAGTGTCTCTCAATATTCTATACATATTTATTAACAATGAATTATATAACAATGATAACGTTACTTCATTCAGGATCAAACATTTTACACATATATGTATAATATACATCATTATAATATACATCAAATTTTAATAATATTTAAATATTAATCTTTAAATTAGCAGACTTGTTATGGATTCAAATAATTAAACAACAATTTATAGAATAGACATTTATCAATTGCAAATGTGCGGAAACTTAAAATGACGGGGCGATATTATAGAATAATAAAAAATTGTTGCGCTTAAAAAGATTGTGAATAAAAATTAATTTATACAATAAACTAATAATATTAGTGAGAAAAAATCATACCAGGATATTGCCGGCTCATATCGTGGACGCTTCTGGATCCCTGAAACTTATTGTTGTAAGGCGCACGATAGGGATGCGCATAATTCTCGTTGTCAACCTCTTGCATCATATATTTCTGATTGTTATTGCTTGGATGGTAGTGATAGCTATGATGACTATGACGTTTCCTCGTCATTTCCGGCGACGTCACTGGACTGTCAATGCTGGGCATTGGCTTCAACATGCGCTTCAAAGTGTTCGGATCCAAACTGATGCCGCCGTTCTGTGCGTTTTCGATCCGCATGTCATCGGTGCTCTTGCTCTTCGACCTATGACCATGATTGTTATTGACGATGTTGAAAAGGTTACCGTTTTGCATCTCTAACTCGGTATAGTCGGCTGACTTGGTATGATGTAGCTGTTCTTTGCGTAGCAACTTGCTCTGCAGAGTACCACCGGCCTGAGTGCCTTCTGACTTGAGCATTTCGGTACCGTTTTGTTGCGTGGACGAATCCTGGCTTTGCTTTTGTGATTTCTTTGGCGATATCGTAGAACCTTTTTCATCGGGACTGTCAATCTGTTGGAATAAAAAAAACAAATTAATAAACGAATTAATAAGTTCAAAATAGTAATTTTCTTAATTCTAATGGAGAAACATATTCTAAATTAAAATTTCTACGAAATAATGCAATTTAATCTTATATAAGATTTTTGTTAAAATATGGTATAAAATAATATAAAATTGTTTCTGTAATAAGAAAGCTATGCTTGATTTAAAAAATTAAATTCCTCAAACCTGATGGAGATCATATTGTATTACTAAACAAAAAAAAAAGAAAAATAACGATTGTTTAATTTCGAATCTGCATAATAATTGAATATCGATTTAGAAAAAATGCATTGTTATATCGTTGTAATCGTCGCTTGCCTGTGATCCCACCGTAACAGTTCCGATTCCAACGTTGGCAGTCTTTGGAGTTGTCTGACACGTTTCATTCTGTTTATCCTTCTGTTTGGCCGAATCAGCAGTCTTTGGTGTTTTCCCGGGTGTCGCGCTAGGATTGTTGACGTTGTCGTAGAGAGATGCACTGGATGTGGCCGCTGTTATCTTGTCTCGTCCCGGCGTCATTTCCATCTCCGTAGATCGCGCCATGGTCCGTGGAAGCGTGGATGGTCCTGAAATAAGATAGATTTAATAAAAGCGCGAATCACGAAAATAAAATTAGATTCATTAGTTTGTGTTAAATTAAATTTATGCATAATATTATACACATGTATTTTACCTATATAAAAAATATATATATTTATTTATTACTTTAATTGTTGTAATATTCAATATTAAATAAAAAAAATTTTTTATAATTAATTATAAAAATTATATATATAATTCAAATATATATTATCCAAATTATATATTAACCTCCAAAAAAACATTGTTGCTCTTACATGCAGATAAAAAAACTAAAAAAATTAAAATTTGAAGATATAAATTTTCTCAATGAAGCTTCTATTTTGTTTTTATTAAAATTAAACACATTACGAAAAAGTTAAAAAATAACTTATACATATAAATTTAAAAAAATAACAAAGAAAAAAGATATGTATATATTAGAAAAATATATAAAGAATAGAAATATATATTTTATAAATTACACATACCGCACGGGCTCCGATATCTGGGGTCTTGGCTACGTAGCCTGGCAAACTGTTCCGGTGTCATACAGGTGCACTGAGGTTCTCTGGATCGACTCGGTGAGGCCGGTGTTGACAGCGGCTTTCGGCGCGTTTTGATCTTCTGCTTGTTCGGTGGCTCGAGCTTCAACGAGTAAGAAGAGGACGCTTTCCTTGAAATCTTGAACGACGGTGACTGTATGGAAAATTAACTAGTGACTGCAAATGACCTAAGAAGTCGAATTGGACTTGTATCGGACTTGTTGTGTGTCGCCCCTAAATCATCTCCGCTCAACTTCCTCGCGCGCGACCCAACGGGAGAAAGGAAATAGGCGGAGACCTCGTGAGAGTGATAGCAAACAGGATTGTGGCACGATGTACGTATAATGTAACGACATGCGTGTCGCGAGTGTAGTATCACTAAACTTACGCAACATTCTCTGAATTGCTTTGCATCTATGGGAGACGTAAAGTTCAGCCCCCATGTATCATTTGTCACTGTGTCCTTCCAGTAAACGAAACACTCTGATGCTTGGCCGATGCGCGTACCTTAAACACAATTAATTATTGCAAAATTAACTCTCGTTAAACTCCATTTCTATGATTATATTTTATCTCGATTTAAAATTAATTTGTAAAAAATTATATTTTATATATCTTTATGAGAAAACATTATTCTTTGTTCTCTCAAAAAAAAATTAGCTTTCCTTTGAATATTTTCAATTATGGTTTACCTGGCTGGACTAACCGCACATCTAGGATTTTATCGACCTGGCTGTTATATGCGGTAATATGGAAGACGCATTCCGGTGAATCCTGGATGCAAGTGATGTTTACTGGGACCAGATCTTCGGATACCTGCTGCCACTTGACGGTGCCAGCTCCGCTCGAATTTACATGGAACACTTCGGCCCACAGCCTAAAAACTCTCGTCATTACATCATGTGTTGCAACAACATAATTTTCAGACATCGACACATCGTTAAGGAAAATTTCTAAGGAAAGAATATGTGATAAAATAGAATAGTTATGATACGAAATGAAAGAATATAAAAGTAAATATCTGTTATTGAAAGTAAACGTCGTTATCATTTCTTTTAATAGATATAATATCGATGCCACGCTAGAAATACACAAAAATATCGCTACATCACTTCGATCATAATATCATACTGTATCTTGAAAGGATAAAATGGAAATCGTGCATGGAAAATCGCAATTGCATGTACATTACATGCATGCAATATTCGCGTTTACTGAGTAAATACAGCGTAAGCTCTTTCTGCATTAAAATTATGATATTTAGATATTTATCCATAGATATTTATCTTTGATTTCAAAGCTTTAAAATGGATAAAACTGGATGGTATATTATCAAATTTTGTTTACTGAATTCGTTTAGTATGAATAAAAAAATAATAACATTCTGTGTTAGAAATACTAATGTAAAGCATATGTGTATAGATGAAATGCAAAATAGATAATATAAATAAAAAAATATTTAAAATAAAATAAATATCCCATTTTACTTAATTTAAGTAAATTGTAATTTATTAGCGCAAATCATATAAAAAGAATTATTATTCCTGTTATATTCAACAAATATGATAGAATTATATAACTCAATTTCTGTTTAGTTAAATACAGAACACATTAAATTTACATTTACATTATTCAAAGTTTAAGCGTATCATATTTAAGTAAAAAGAAAGTATCAGCTATTGATGAACGAGCTACCAGTTTGATCAACTAGATAAAAAGTAGTAGAAGAGAAAAGTGAAACGAGATCAGGCTTAAAAGAATAAATGTGAGCAAAAGAGGCGAGAAAAAGAGGCAGCAAGAGAGATAAAAGTGAGGGAAACGAATGAATAAGAAAAGTACAAGACAGTCTGGGAGACGCGAATAAAAAGCGACATCCGCCGATTATAGCTACCGACATATAACTGTAGAAGTATGTAGCCTCTCACCCTCAGACGCTACAAAATAATATATAAGTTCGGATCTGGATGTACTACATTTCGTAATAAATATTTGCTAAAATAAGATCAATAATAGCATTGCGATAAAATATATAATAGTTATACTTACGTCGAAAATTAAGATATAAAATTATAATTTCAAGTACAAAATTATAATTTCAAATATAAATAATTCCATTCATTAATTTTTTTCTTGTAAGAACTGTTCATATACATATACACGTAAAAAGAGATTTCTTTCTAATTTTTAAAATTATTACTAGATAAAAATTGTATTTATATTCAATGTTTTATTTTCTATTATATATAATTCATGCAAATGTAATTATCATGCAAAATTGATGCAAAGATTTTGATTCCCGTCGCCCAGCGCTGTTGTTATGCATGCTGCTTACAAAAAGTAGAAGCAAATAAAGAAAGAAAAAGAAAAAGAAAAAGAAAGAGAGAAAAAGAGAGAGAGAGAGAGAGAGAGAGAGAGAAAGAGAGAGTCAGCATAATGCATGTCAGTCAAGTGTGTACAAATGGTAATCATCGAAGAGAAAGAGTGGCAACATGGTCGAATGGAGAATGATTGAATGGTTGAATGGTATGGTATGCGCACCTCTTCCTCTCTCTTAAGCTTCCGCACCTGAGCAAGTGGCCAGTATCACCCCTGCGTCCTCCGCCGCCGCCCATTCCGCCCCTGGCACCAGCCTGCCATGGGCTGTCCTCGTAACGATACGTCTTTGATCTAATCAGGGGTGCGCAACTGCAGGAAAGCTTGTTGCCCATTCTAACTGTTCTTATTCCGGCTTTGATCCTGCCACCTGCCTTGCTTCGCCGTCGCCACCACCACCACCACCACCACCACCACTACCACCACCACCTCCACTACTACTACTCTGCGTCACCACACCACCCTCTGTACTCGTGATGCTCGTTTGTGTTTCTGGCACGACACGCCTTAACACGCTTCTGGCCTCACGTATCCTTTCCTCTTTCACCCCGTTCTTCAGGATATCCGTCTAATTCCCTGTCTATATATCTCTTTCTTGTTGTCCCGCTTTTTCTCTATTTTTCTCTTTTTATATCTCTCCGTTCCACTCTCCGTTCAATTCCTCTTTGACACACTTTCGCGGGGTTGGCTCTTATGGCTTGTCTGTGTCGACTTTTGGCACCGATTTCCAACGACGCCGACTACGGCCGACGGTTTGGCGTTGCTTTTTTGCGCGTAATCCTCGGATCGTGTGTGTTATTGGGAAGCACTGTGTGTAATAGGGAGGATCCCCAGTTAGCAGAGAGTAGGAGGAGGTATCTTTATTGTCACATCATTGCAGGCGTCGCGAAAGTCATCACCTTGTCTCTAGCATGATCGCTGCGAACATATGTTAGTCGATTAGCTGTGAAAAACATATATTTCAAACATCCAAATAATACAAATCTTATTTTATATTTTGTGTAGAAAAATGTATATGAATTATATTTTTCCTAAACATAGTCATCTGTAATGCAATTAAAATACATGTGTTAATTAAATCATAAGATGAAATATAAATCATCAGAATTTACAAGTGCATAATATTATGCAATATCAATTATATATATATATATATATATATATATATATATATATATATATAATAATATGTACAATATTATATGTTTTATAATAAATAAATAATAAAATTTTAAATTAACTTAAAACCATATGCGCTATGTAAACAAGTATAAAAAGTTAAGGAGATTTGAGGCTGAGCATATAAACGTCGCAATTCACTCGAGGAGACAAACTCGTTAATCGGATTTAAATAAATTGCACGTTTATTCAACGAGTTTATCAACGTATTGATTAATATCAAATTTTTCAGCGAACTAATTTATAATGCTATGAATATCAATTAGCTTCAGAGATGCATCGAGGCTCAATTAAACTCTGATAAAGTCAATCTAATCCTCTCGTGTAAACTTTTGTAAAAGCTCTTGTCGTAACTTTAATTTCTCGATCGGTTAAATAATTCTAACAACGTTCTCGTCCAATAATTTTTTCGCACATTACAGTTTCATTCACATTTCTCGTGATAAATCCTTTCGCAACATGCTATCGATTATCGTGAACATCATCATTACAAATATTTCATCCTAATGTTTGGCCGAAGTCAACATCAGGGAGGAGGTCAATAGCGTGAGATATTGTGTAGATATGTCGCGGATAATAAAAGGGGTAGCGCCACCGGAGGGTTACTGAACTGTCCCTGTCGGCCACGTAATACATCATTTCTCTCAGAGATGCTCTCGACAATGCCGGGGTATCCTAGGCTCTCGTAACGTTCATCTCGCAACATCCATCACGAGAAGATAGAGGATGTTCGAGGACTTTCTGACTCGAAACATTCCTATGAGAAACATCAACACAGAGACAGTTGGCTTATATATTTTCAACTCTCTACTCATTCTCCATACTTGCATGTAAAATTGGCACATAAACAATTGTTCTAGTAGTTCTGCGAAAGATACATTCAGCGCGAATGTTCAGCATGTTGTAACATTATAATTCTCGCGATTAATTTTAGATCATTATGAGAATAACAATACAAATACGCATACATAATAATATTAATTGTTACAACATTCCTTAATAACTGTACGTTTACCAAAAATACATTTTACTGTCAAATAAATGAATTGCATAGAAATTTTTCTCGAAAAAATTAATTTTTCAATTAATTAATTGGTCATTCATCTTTACAACCAACTAGAGTCAATAAATTATATCTATATCATCGTATAAATCTATATCGTCGTTTACGAGTTTGATCATGAAGGAGTTGAAGAAGGAAAATTATTTTCAGATCGGCGGCTGCCGTTATTATCTAAGCTTTTTACATCATCGGGCCTTCGTCTGGGCAAAAGCGCGGATTCACCGACGGTATATATATGTCGTTTAATTGGACGAGGGACTGCACGGAGTGGATAAATGTCAAACGGTGCGTGCACCCATGACTACCGGGGTCTCAAAGGATTAATTATGGGCGACGGAGACGGCGGAAAATCGCGGTTGTGTGTCTGCCGTCTGCAAAAATCTCAACAACATTATCGTTGTTGCCGACATAATTGACACGCACGAGCAAACGATATATCGGGAAAGCGGGAGTTTGTAAATCGCCAGCGGTTCGCCCGACAGCACGCGATAATTATGATCGGCGTGGGCGTAGACTCGAATGAAGACACGTAGGTAGGTAGGAAGCCTTAGTTGAGCCCGGGGTCTGCTCATCACCCGACACGAAAGCAGGGACACGAAAGGTAGGCGTACGACCGACGTAGGCGTGGGTGTGAAGAGAGAAAGAGAGAGGAGAGCTTTCTAAACACTATATCGATTTCGGCGGCGATGCGGTTACTCGTTGTTTGTGGCTAAACATGAATGGTGGATGCACGATTGTCCTATGTGTGAAACTAAGCTTCTCAGTTGAAGAATGTGTGAAAATCCAGGTGAATCTGAAGAGAGAAGATTATTCATTCTTATTCTGCTTGACCGTGTTTGACCGGTGAATGTGTTATTTACAATAGTAGAATTCGTAGTTAAATTCATCGAATGTGAATCAAATGCAGTGTTTAAAGATTTGAAACAATGAATTAAATCTTTGACATATGGGTGAGATATTTACAACAGTCAAATATTATTCAAATAAATTTAAGATAATTTAGAAAAAACTCAGAAATAGATTAGAAAATAAAAAAGATATAGAAAAAAATTATATAGAAAAATTTTATCATTTTTATGTGAATTTTTTATATGAATTTAAGATTAATATTTACAATGAAAATTTCACCAATCTCAAATTCAGTTCCATCCAGCACCAAATACAGTCGATGAAAATAAGTGTTTATTAAACTAAGCATTTTTATCTTCTCTTTCATTCATTTAAAATTTTGAATTCAATATTAATAACATAAACAAGAAAAATTATAATGTGTTCTCCAATATAAAATCAAGTGTTGTCAATTGATCAATTCTTGGAGATTGCAAAAAAATTGCATACTTTTTTCCAGAACTGATGAAAAAGAAAAACAAAGAATCAATAGTTTGATACCTTTTGGTGATCGTTATCGACTCACCGAAGCAATATATATGTATGTGTTTAGAGAATAAATTTTTTCTCTGAACTAAAGTTGATTTTAGTTGTATCAACAGTAAACAAAACGAGACACTAGAGGCATCTATATATTTTCTTTTTCAGCAAAATTATGTTTTTCACAATTTGTGTAAATAGGTTCATTATGAATTTAAAAAACAAATGATTATTATCCGTACGATATAAATCGAAATAAGAAACATTTTGTAAGGTCTTATAGAAATTTCTTATCAATTTGACGGGATAATTTCATCAATAATCGTTGAATGTAAAATATAAAAATATTGAAAGACTAAATGTATACACTCGTATTTTTCTCGTATATAAAAATATGTTTTCTAAACTGAAAATTTCCGTCACAAAACCGATGACGAAACTCCGCACAGGACCGCAAGGGAATCATGGAAAATTCATGCACTTGCTCCAAAACACACGAAGAGTATCGAAAGGAGAGCCAACGCCTTCATGTCGCTTCGCGAGTTTTATCGACTCGCGAATTTATCCGCGAACATATTTGCGAGTTAAGGATTTTTTTGCGAGTAATTTTACAAAAGAGAAAATACATCGGAACACTGATATAAGCAAGGAATCGAAAATATCGAGAGATTAGGCATCTCTGTTGTATATGATATATATTTCCGTATGGTTTATTTCCGCATTCATATTTGCAGAATAACGACATCTTTCACCGAATCAAACAAAATTGGCACAAGCCAGTCGGAAGATCACTCAAGTGAAGGATACACGACACTTGTTCCTGCAGAAACTCGGACGCAGAAGCGCGAGATGAGCCAACGCCTCTTATCTAGTTTCATGATTGTTATCGACTGGCAAAATTGACTTGAAACAAATTCTTAAGTCGAGATTTTTCTAAAACGAAAATGCCAGCGAGGAAAGATTAAGGTGTATATCCCAGTGATATCCGGTTCTCCACCTTGAGGGTGGAGGCTGCTCGGGGCCGCCGCGGCAACGCCTCTTCTGACACAAACGTCAAACGGTAGATACAAGAATTAAGTAACGTACGGTACGCAGAAAAAGAGAGAACGGATCACGATTAGAAATATACGTCGTTCCTCATTGCTGCTCCTCGGTCGCGAAACGGTCACGGAGAGACGCGAAAAGCGGAAGCAGGAGCGCGGACGGAGAGGTGCGACTCCGCCTAGTCGCGCGCGCGAGAGGCACCTCACCCTGGGTAAACACACTGCGGGATGCACCACTACTACCATCACCACCACTACCGCCACCATCACCAATACTATCATCAAGAGGTACCACTACCACTACTATTACTAACGGCATCGGTATATGTATGATCGACGCCCCGCGCCACCCACCGTCTCCTCGTCGACGAGAAGATAGACGTCTCTTCTGTGTTTTCTGGCTTCCCGGCTTTGTTGTACTTCCGCTCAATTTCTTTCTCTGCGTTTCTAATCACATTTTCATTTATCAGTCTCTCTCTCTTTCTCTCTCCCTCTCTCTTGCTCTATCTATTTATTGCATTTTTACCCTTCGACCGTTTCGCCCATCCGCGTGATGATGACTCACATTCACCGACACGACGATGCCTTCTCCTCAGCTTCCTGGCACTCAGTGAAATATACCGGCGCCTTGGTCAAGCGTTTCTCCCGAAAAACGGACGCGCACTTTCGATTATTGTTAGTCTGGATGTCACGAACGCGAGTCTTCGCAACAACACTACCGCGACGGAAAAAGATAGACGGAGAACAGTCGGAGGGATGCTGGAAGCGCCGCGCGCGACAATCAGAGAGGAGGTCGTGGGCGGCGGCGGTGGCGGCGACGACGACAACGGGGTACGGGGGTGGTAGGGCTGGAGTTACGTGGCCTCCGCGCTAGCTTGCGGGGAGGGGAAGACGATTTCTCGAGAGAAACACGGAATGAAGCACGATATCCACCCTATTTTTAAAAAGAGAGACAGACAGAGAAAGAAAAGGGTGAGATTCTCGTGGGACCCACCGGGAATAAGACGCCGACGAAATATTGCCGAGACGCTATCCGGGTGCCGCTTTCGACGGCACCCTCGCCGTTTATTGACGTCGCTGTTGTCGCTGCTATTGCCACCGCTTCGTCGTCCGCTACTCGTTGTTCTATCTCTCTCTCCTTTTCTTTCTATTTTTTCCTCTTTTTCTTTCTGTCCGCCCCTATAGCTGGGCGACAGTCGTCGCCTCGCTGTGCGATCACGCTTCCGGTATTTCGCGGGAAATCCTCGCGGACGACGTAGCCATGGATACTGCAGGATCCGACAGGGAGAGGCGACTGCCCCGTCGCGCGCGCACCCCGTGCCCCTTCCTCCTGTCTCCGCCACGATGCGCGCCCCACGACCGAAAATGTCAATATCCTCTCTCGCGCGCTGCGCCCGCGATGCGCCCTCTCTTCCCTCCGTATTCACCCTCGTTGTACCTGCGCTCCCTTACATACGCGCGTTCCATGTACCGCTCCCGTTTCCCATTCTCTCGTTCTCCGTTAACCCCTTTCGACATCCCTGCGATCTTTTCTCTTCGTATTCCGGTTTCCTGTAGCGATTCTTCTCTCCCTCTGTCTCTCTTTTTTATTTTCATTCGTACCACTATAACTTATTAATTCAAAGATAAAATTATGGTGTTCGAAGCTTTTCGGATATTATCGAAATGTAAGATTTTAATTACACACAGTAATAAGAAATGGATGATAGAAAAATATTTCGTTGCATATTGCCTTCCATTACTAAAAATATACTTTAATTCGTAAAAATTTATTTTACAAAGATTGCTAATTCAACCCTGCTATATAATCTAATAATCTGTCTCAGTCACGATTCTGCTCACACTTCTTTGCACTGCCATTCTAGCCATTCAATTTCTTTTTCTTCGTTATTTAACTTTATAATCTTCTCCGTTCCTCTTAATCGAAATGAGCGCAGATCGTGACAAGAGAATGATTTCTCCTAAAAATTTATTTTATTCCATCCCTTTTCTCGTTTTTTCTGTACACTTGATATATTTTCCTATTTCACAGCAAGTGTCCATAATTCTTTCAATCAGTTTTATTCACCTACCGTGAACATATGCAGGACGATTGATGTCCTTGTCGTCACCAGTATCGTCATCGTCGTTGCCAAGACGTAACCATAGAAATCAGTGATCGATGTCGAGCAGGCGCATTTATTCGTAGAGAATCCGTGATCCTTGCAACTTTATTCGATGTTTAATATATTAATCTGATCCATCTGCGTTACTCCAATGCGTGATAAGTATGCTTCTACAAATATATTTCATACAATAAATAAAGATATAAAAAAATGAAACTTAATCGATATTCTGTATAAAAAAACAAAACATATCATTATAAAATATATTTACTTATATATATTTTCTTCGTTCTCCTTTATACCGTTCATAATAAGAATGTGGGATCCAACCACGTACGTAGTCATGTCGGATTAAAAACGGTCCTCTTCTACTTGTAGATTTAACTGTAGTTTTACTATTCAAAGTCATTGTCCCCAAAAAAACGCACTGAAAATATAAAATACAGAATTACTACAATTATCTAAATTATATCAATTACAAAAATCTAAATTTCTAAAATTAAATGAAAGAGCAATCGGGGAAAATTTATAAAATTATAATTTGAATTACTTAAATTTTCAATCTGTGCAAGTTCATTAATGTAGCAAGATTTTTATTGTAATTGCATTTTGAATCATATTTGTTAATCTTTATATCTTATTCTATACATGCATTTGCTTATTTGATATCGTTTTATTTATACAATTTCATGAAAAGATCAGCAAATTTCAGCAAATTTGGAGAAGATACATTTCATTTATCATCTTGATCTGTAATGATGTAACATGTTGTATTGAGCGCATAGAGCTGTGTAAATGTATAAATAAATATATATAAAAAATCTTGAAAAGCAAATATACTAATTGTACTCACGCAATGGAGCTATCCATGCAGCTTTGTAATACAATCTTTTTTGTCATCTCTCCGGCGAGAAAAAAATAATAAACATAATGAACCAAAGTTAAATTCGTTTAATTATATTTCTTGCATTTACCTTCTTATTTTCTTCGTAGTTATTTCACTTTGAATGCAAAAGAATGTAGCTGAAACAAACAGGTTGCGTTGGAATGTGCACATCACTTGGTATTTGAAATCTTTACTACTCGTGTGTCCTGATTGGTCAATTAAGTAGTATGGCGTACAGCTTCGATTCAAACGACATTTTTTATGGCAAATCGAAATTACGATTAAATAACTTACTGTGATCCAAAAAATTACTTTAAAACATTCTAATATTAATTATAAATATCTCAATTACGATATAAATCTTTCTTCGTTATAAGACAAAATTGCAAATACGTATTTCACAGGTACTTGAACAGAGGTCTCTGTGGTCTCTCTCGCTCACTATGATCTTTAGGACTTATGCACATGTGCAAAAAAATTAACCAATCACGAGTCTAGTACGTAATGTTTTGTATCAGACACTTGATTGGTCAATTTCTTTATTCGGCTAATTTGAAGATAAAGCTTTAGACGTTTATATAATTCCCATATGATATACATATTCAAACTTTCAAACAGATAAAAATCTAAAAAAGTAAGTAAATAAATAAATAAAGAAATGAATATTTCGTGGACAAATACTTCAAAAGCATTGCAGGATTTTGCAAGTATTCTGGTTTGTGGCAAATGGTAATTATATTATAAATTCCTTTGTTAGTTAAGAATTGAACGAAATACAATTAATTTGATTAATAATCAGTAATTCTATTCTATTCGTAAATATTTTTCAGAAAGTACTGCTTCTATAAGCATTTTATACATTTATATATTGCTATATCTAAAATATTGATATAAATAACGATATCTATTTTTTCAGTGGATCCAAACCAGTATCTCCAGTAAGACTAATAAATTGTGGACATTTTTTTTGTCGAGATTGCATTAAATCTGCAACAATATGTATTAAATGTGATATACCTGTGCAGCCATGTGAAATAAATCCTGATTGTTTAGTATCAAATCTTATTCAAGCATGCGATACTATTGCACAAGTTATTAAAAGGTTTGATTAGATTTTCTTTAAATATAAAGTTGCTATTAATGAAACAATTATTAGTATATTACATCAATACATATTAACTAATACTAGTAACTTTTATACATATATATATATATATATATATATATATACATGTTTATATAATTTTTAATAATTAATGATATAAATATATCAGGGATAATATATGGGACAATACTGTAGATATGTCTAATATATCATTAGACAATGCAGTATCTGAAATATTTAATACATCAAAAAAGCATTCTTATATTAAAAAGAACATAAATAAACAAAATTCAAAAGGAGAAACACAATTGCATACCACATGTTTAAGGGTTTGTATATCTAATACTAATATAATCTCTTTTTTTTCTCTTTAATTTCAAAATAATATTATAATTACATATTATTTAAATTTTAAATTAAATTCTCTCTACTGCCATATGTTAAACATAAACTATAAGTTGCTTTATTTATAGAGAAATGCTGAACAAGTTAAACATTTATTGATAGCTGGTGCAAATCCTAATACAAAGGACAATGCGGGTTGGACACCATTGGTAAAAAATGCTTATATTGATTATATATTTATTTTTTTAAATTACATTTTATATTATTTTTTCCAAAATTAAGTTATTTTATTATTTTGTACATTATTTCAGCAAGAGATGATCAGTTATGGATGTATTGAGATATCTAAATTATTACTGAGTTGTGGAGCATCACCTAATATATCAGGTTATGATGCAAGAACCCCATTACATGAAGCTGTTGAGTGTAATAGAATTGAAGAAGCTAAGTTGTTATTGGATCATCATGCTAATAAGAATCTATGTGATCAATATGGCAAAAAACCTATGTATGTATATATATATATATATATATATATATATATATATATATATATACACATTATAGTATGATAAAATAGTAGAAAGTTTAGAAAAAATTTAGAAAGTTTTATTTTTCTCTTATTATTGTACTCTTAATTTGACTTTGCAGTGACTATTGTAAATCAGACGAAATGCGACAACTTTTGATAGATGTTCAATCCTCGTCTGAGAAAATATTGGATAAAAGTATTAATCAAACACTAGACACATCATTATCTATAAGATGCGATAAAATTGTGATTTATGCCTCCAATTTAAAGCATGAAAATCAGAAATTGCTTAATCTCCTAGCTACAAAACATAAACTCAAGATTTTGACTGCATATAGGTATAATTTTTCTTTCTTATAATTAAATTAGTGAAATATTAATATACTCTAATCTATTCTATCTACTATCTATCTACTTCAATTTTATATTTCAGATCATCTGTTACACATGTTATAGTGGAGGTAAATGAACGGAACATTACAAAATTGACACTTGATGTTTTATTTACCATTGTTCATGGCAATTGGCTTCTTAATAGTGAATGTAAGAGAATGTAAATGTAAAACAATTATATGTTTGTAGTTATTCTTTAATATAACTTTATAAAGTTATACAATTTATTTAAAGGGATTGTACTAGCAGAAGATATGGACAATATATCTAACATGGATTTCGAATTGTTTGAAGTTAATGGTGCACCAACTTCTGATGTTCCAAAAAGAGCGAGAGAAAATGCGGAAAATCAAAGTCCACGCCTATTCAATAACTGTTTCTTTTATTTTGCTCTACAAACAAATATAACTTATCGAATTGGTGATGTGGAATTAAGAAAAGATGACTTGATACGACTTGTGAAAGCAGGAGAGGGAACAGTTCTCACTAGAGAACCAAATCCAGAAGATCTGAAAGATATGATGCAAGCGATACCTTTTCACATTGCAAATGATTCGTCTCATCCTTTATATAAATGTACGCATTATATTATATATATGCCAGGTAAAGATGAACCACGTATAAAATATAAAATGCCACATATTAAGAGTCTGCCACTCATATGGCTAATTGAATGTATAGAAAAATTTACTCTAATTAATCCAGCTCACCTAGGTTTATCCTAAATGCCCAAAGATGTATATTATTACAACATTTTCTATATTATCTCTTTTATTTTTCTTTAATATATTTATGTATTTTATTACTATTTCTTTTTTTGATATATTGTAAAATAATTTTACATTGATGCAGAACATTTTGTATATTATAAATTAATTTTGTTTTGTTTGTTTGTGACAATATATAACCAACTTTTTATAACCTACTTTCATATTATTTCATTACTTTATTTTATATATGTATATGTAAGAGAAAATATCTATATTATAATTATTATAATTCGAAATCGAGTAATTGCTTAAAGTAAAAAATTATTTACAAATTTTATTGGTAAAATATTTTAATAAATAAGATTTTTGCATATATATATATATATATATATATATATATATATATATATATATAATAATTATATAATTTAAATCCATCCCCCCTTTCCTAATATTTCGTAAAGAATGGGTCATTTTTCTTTTTATTTTAATGTTCGAAATTCGTTTTTAAAAAATAAAGACTCGAGTAATCGCACTCGATTAAATTGTTTTATTCTGATTGGTCAACTTCAATCACATCGAGCCTACAATCCATAATGTGATTATGACTAAGGTTTATGCTCTGGCCATACGTTTCTAACCAAAAAATTTGTTTACATATACTCTAATTTCAAATATCTTTTCATATAAACATATTCAGATGATTTAAGAATAAGAAATGTTACAAAAAACACTTCTGAGATTAAAATGTATCGCACGATCGACACAGTTTCGCACTTTAACAAAACTATCGGACAATTTGGGAGAAAAACTCAACAAGATGCAAGCTTGGCAAGTACATTCGTATAATGGATTGGAAGATTTAAGGCTGTCTAATGTCACGATGCCAGTGATTATGCAGCCAACAGATGTTTTGGTGAAGGTTGAAGCTGCTAGTGTAAACCCTATCGATGTATCAATGACAAGTATGTCTCCATTTCTGATTGTATGTGTCTTTGTTGTAAAAGTAACATAAGATTTCAAATCAAAGCACGTATAAAATATATGAAATATTTATAATATAGAAAACTTGTAAAATAAAATATTACATTTTCTATATTTTTAACCAAAAATATGTAAATAAATGTAACAGTATATATATTATAACATAAAAGTTGTATAAAAATGATCAAAAATTAATGCTATTAAGTTTTAATAAATTATGTTTTTATGAATATATTTTTAATTTATATTATTTTTACAGCAAAATCCATTTAATCTTATATGAGTTACAATAAAAGACTTAAATATTACAATAAAACTATGTATATTTTATAGATGGTTATGGCATAACTGTTCTAAATTTGATGCGCAAAGCCAAGAATTTGATTGATGGGACATACAATGGATTAGATTTGCCATTAACATTAGGCAGAGATTTTGTGGGGGTCATTGTATCAAAAGGAAATAATGTAGGAGACAGGCTTGAGTTAGGCAAAGAAGTTTGGGGAGTAGTTCCAGTAGAACAGCAAGGTTGTCATGCAAATTATGTTGTGGTTAACAGTAACTTGGTAAGACATATTTCATTTTTTAATTAATTAATTTATAAATATTATAAATGTCTGGCAAAATCTTATACACACATACATACATACATGTATACAATTACATATTGAATAATGATAAATATTCTCTTGCAAGGTAAATCCACGCCCTCAAAATTTATCTCATACAGAGGCTGCAAGTATTTTATTTGCTGGATTAACCGCATGGTCTGCATTATGGATTACAGGAGGATTAGCTTATAAAACAGCAATAGTCACAAGATTAAATAGACGCGTTCTGGTTATAGGAGGTTCAGGTGGAGTTGGAACTTTGGCTATACAGCTGTTGAAAGCTTGGAATATGCATGTAAGTTTTGTCACATAAAATTTGCACTAAAATTTGTAACATAAATTTCAATTTATTTAGGTCATTAGCACATGCAACAGTGATGCTATGGATATGCTACAGAATTTAGGTGCCGATATCGTCATTGATTACAACCAAGATAATGCAGATACAAAAATTATTTCAGAGGGACCGTAAGTAATTTCATATCAAATGCATTGTATTCATATAGTTATTATCATGTATATTAAATTTCAGATACGACATAATCTTAGATTGTACCAATCAAGGACCGGAGTATGTCAGAATGAAAGGATATCCACACAGTACTTATATAGGATTAAATTCACCATTGTTAAGAAATACTGATCAACATGGACTAATTGTAGGAATGGCAAAGAATATGCAAGATTTTTTAAAGTTTAATATTCCAAAAGGAGAAAATAAAGGCTGTGTAAAATGGGGATTTTTTATTCCCTCTCAGACGGGTATTAACGTTCTTCAAAAACTTGTGGAAAATGGACAAGTATTATAGAAATTTTTAAAATACATTTATTCTGTTAATAATATTACATATAGTATGATATTTTATGTCTTGAATTTTGCAGATTGTACCTATCATTCAACAAGTATATCCTTTTCAAGATTTGCCACTGGCATATGAAAAGATAAGACAAGGTCATTTAAGAGGTAAACTAGTCATTGACATAAGATAATGCATCATTTAATTAAACATAAGTAAATAAATATATTTTAAATATTTTATAAAGATTATATGATTTATTATATGATTTATTTATAATAAATAGTTGCATCTTACATAATATTTGCAGTGTTTGTCATATTTTTTACTTCCTGTATTGTATCAATACCAAAAACTTTGTTCGTTACTTCTTCCCAACAATTTGTCGCAAGTTCTGTTGCTCTTTCTGTACCTTTATGCAAAATCTCGTCCAAATAAGCAGGTTCTTTCATTAATCTCAATATATTCTCACGAATTGGAGATAATTTCTCTATCACTACATCCGCTAACACCAATTTATATCTATTAAATTGAAAAAAAAAAAGCCTTAAAAATTCATCTTAGATTTGAATAAACCTTAGATTTTATTTATCAATCTTCTCCAAAATTTGTATATATGCACGCGTGCGTAAATAGAGAATTGTCTTTTTCCTAATGAAAATTATGTAATATAATTATACTCACTGTCCTGTATTTAACTCTACAACTTCCTTACATATCTCGTCTGGTGTCTTTCCAGTAACCAGAGAATGTATATTAATCAAATTAGTCACTCCTGGTCGTTTCTCTGGCTCGTAAGTCACTTCAGATGTAAAATCAGTCACAGCCTTTTTTATTTTTTCCAATAATACATCTGGTTCATCCAACATGTTCAATCTAGACTTGGGATCTTTATGTGACTTTGACATTTTCTTCATAGGCTCACGTAAAGACTTGATTCTTTGGCTTGGGCCATCTAAAAATATAAAAATTCATGTAGATGAAAGATTTTACAAAATCAAAATTAACAATTAAATTTTGAAATTTATTATCTTAAAGGCTTACCGCTTATAAGAGTATGCGGTATTGGAAAAGTTTGACCAAACCTTTTGTTGAATATATGTGCTAAATCTTGTGCCAATTGTATGTGCTGAGCTTGATCTTGTCCAACTGGAACGTGTGTAGCTCTAAATAAAGAATCTTTATATACAGCTTATTGCTATTATTATCATATAATAAACATTACATATTAAAATAGAGATATTTACTTGTATAATAATATATCAGCTGCCTGTAGAACAGGATAGATATATAAGCCTAAAGGAATATTCTTTAAGGATTCACTTTTTTCCTTAAATTGCGGTAAATGCGCTAATCTTGCCATAGTAGTGATAGTTCCTAAGACCCAACATAACTCTGTATGCATAGGTACTTTAGACTGTTGAAACAAAATACTCTTTTCAAAGTCTACACCACAGGCCACTAATGTTGCAGTCATCAGCAGAGTATTTTCTCTTAATTTTTTTGGATCCTGTAAGTCACATATTAGCAATAGATTTCTCTATAATAATATAAAAATAATTCTTTGGTCTGCTATATTTTTATACTTGTGATAAAGTTATTGAATGTAAATCTGCTATGCTGCACAAAACTTTTTCGCCTGTATTCTGAAATTCTACCCATCTTTGAATAGCACCAAAATAATTGCCTAAATGTACGCTTCCAGTGGGCTGAATTCCAGAAAATATTCTCTTTGGATATTTAGCTTGTGGTGCCTACAAGATAAAATATACATACATAGTAAAACTAATTTATAATCAATTTATCTAAAATGTGATCACAAAATGCTTGAAACCGAGGAAATTAATTACATATTTATTAAATTTTCAAAAAATTAAATTCCTTTTAACAATTTTATTTCAGAAACAAATTGTAGTTAAGACAAAACATAATTGAACCTGATGGCTATATTCTCTTATTCTTTTGGGCTTCATCTTTCGAACCGTTCCCAAATAAACGGCATTTTTCAATATTTTCAGCATGTCGTGTACATGTAAATGTTAAAATATTTAATCTGAGGTTAGATAATCACGGTAGTTTAACTTATTGACACACAAAACACGTGCGTTACTTTAGGGTACGTTCGAAAATTCTACCCGTGGAATAAAATAATCTTTGTCTCTCTTCTTTTGTCTTGATTATTCAATTAAATACTACTTTACTCTACGGATAGGATTTTAAACGCACGTCTCTGTCATCTTTCAGTCAGCTGTGATGCGTATACGAGTATATGAATGAAGTATACGTAAATGTGAATGATTTTTCAGTATCGCCAATATACCAAACACACACAGCATCCTATTTAAATTTCAGCCAATCACAATTTTCTGAAAAATGTTTTTGGCTAATATTATATTTAATAAATATATTATTGATAAAACTATTTTCTAATAATTATATATTTCCAAAAAACAAAAAGTTTATATCCTTTATTAGCAAAATACTCGAGATTAATAAATCAAAAGAAGATTTTAATAAGAAAATAAGAAAAAAATTATAATAAGAAATATAAATATTTATTGAATTATTTAAATTTGTAAAGACCGCCAATTTTTTTAAAGAATAAGAAGATCTTAATTGTATATATAATGCATACTATAACATTATATTTTTCAAATAAGCCTTAATTTAAAAGAAAATAAATTTTGTTCGTAAAAGTAATATTTATATATAATTAATAAATTTAACCATCTTTATAATAATCAAATTATTCATAATTGATTTGTTTTAAAATTGTGCAATAAAAGTGCAAGTATTGTTCTTCTCCCCTTATTCTGCAAACTTCATATTCTATCGTGGGATGATTGCATTTTCTATTGCAAATTATATTAAATATAAGTGTTTGATTATTAAAAGTTAATTATGGTTTCTACCGTGAAAATATTTGACATTACTATACCACAAAAAAGCGATCTATCCTGTGCTATTTGCAAAATTGTTAATTCCGAAAACAATTTGATTTATTCTAAATTTTGTGCAAAGGTGCTCAAGTGTCGGTAAATATTATCAATTATTAAAAAACATATTATTATTTTCTAAAAAATTACAAAATAAGAATATTTCTTATGCGTGAATTAAAAACAAAATTACTGGAGCAATTAATATTTTGAAAAAAATCTCACGAATTTTTATCATCAGAGATTCTTTTCCTAATTTCTTTGCGCTAATATATACATATATGTATATATGTTATACGGATTTTAGAGAATTTCTTCAAGAAACTCCTCATGCAATGGCCGCTCCAATATCTAATCGAAAAATACTCGAATCTGGTGGTTCTATCTACATTATCGTTACGAGAGAGCTTTTTGAGAGCTGCGCTTTTCAAAATCATTGTGATATATTAAATATACAGGTGGTATGTATGCGTACGATCTGCAACAGAAAAAAAGAAGAGAGCGTTCTATATCTCTTCAAAATAAATTTCTCGTAAAAAATAATTGATATTTGTTTGATACGAATTATATAGATAGATCTATTAGATCCTATTCCAACTTACATTTACAAAGCGTGTCTACTTTATACTATGGAATATAAAATGGTGCCACAATGGAATAAAGTCGGGCCATATCTTGTCGAAGGACAAAATTTTCTTAGATCGACAGGAAATGTCGATGCAGTAATGTTACATATTAAGGAAATTCGCGGTATAAAATTTTCTTTCGTTTTATAATCAGAAACTTTAAAATTATTATAATGTTAAATACGTGTATTATTTATATATTTTAATATACAGAATCTTTTATGCGATGTAGAGATTGAGAGATTTAGATATAAATCGATATATTATAATACAGAAATATTTTATAGATAACTGTGCTCAGCTTGTCATGGAAGCTATAAATTTAAAAATACCATTTGTAAGATTGACTAGAACACGTTCTTTACAATGTGCTTTACAGCCGCCAGTACGCGTTTTACCAAGGTGAGGCATTAAAATTATAAATATTATTAAACCGAGATTATAAAGTCGTAAAACTCTATGTCAGTCAATGAATTACTTAAACATAATTTAATAATGTTATTTAATAATTTTGTAAATAGCATGAAAATGGCAAATGTGCTGCGCGTATCAAATTCAATCAAACATCTTTTCAAAGATTATGAGGACTTGCGCGCATATTGGAAAAATATGGTAAAAATCTTTCACTTACTTTATCACTTATGAAAATTAATATTTCCTAAGATTATCAATTATATCAAAATTTTATTTTCTTATTTATATTTCTTATTCCCTGAAATAAAAATCAATAATGTGTCAAAAATAATAGAAACTTTATAAATAAAACTGATTAAATTATATTTCGATATTATTAAATTAAGTCAAATAATCCTGTAAATTATAAACATTACAATTACAATTACATTATATATACAATTTTTATCTTATTTTAGCACGGCTATATATTACCAAATTACGAGGACGGATTTTTATTTTATGATATTGAATTCTTCTATTTTAAGTCAAGCATTTTCCTATACCCAGAAATATGTTTAACTTCAGGACCCTTAGAAATTTTCCCATCTGCGGTGGATCCGCTGTCTAAAATCTATAAATTCATAGGGGATCTAAGAGGAAAAGTGGCCAAATTATGTGAACAACAATTAGATATATGTCCGAAAGTAAGAAAATAAAAGCTATACTATATCTTATAATATTTATCTTCATTTTTATCTAATTCTCTCAATCATAAATTCTTATTTAACTCTCATATTAACTTTTATTTAGAGTTCAAATTAATATATTTTTTCTTACATATAATTACATTTTAATTATTGTTATGTTTTATATACGATACGTATGTATAAATATCAATATTTAATTTTTTCTATTAATTTTTTATATTTTTGTTAAATTATGAATAAATATTAAAATTATTTCTACACGATTTTAAAATATATCTATTATTCTTAAATCAGAAATTGGATCAATACATTTGAATATTTTAATCACACTATGTTACTTAATATATAATTTGCCTCGTAGAATACATTTCCAACAGCGGCTCTAGCTTGTACACCAGTATTACCAGCATTACCAAAAGTTAGACTTTCAGCTTATGATACAGGATATGGTACACAATCGAGAAAAATTAATACTGTGATGCTTCAAATGCCTGATACCTGTGATATTCCTACGAAACGATCTCGATTATCATTATCGAAAACTGATGATTTCCTTACATGCGCGACCGAAATTGATGATTTTGATTTGGATATCAAGCCATATTCTGCGAGTAAATTTAATCGATTAAAAACTACTGGCCGTATTTCGACTTTATGCGATGAAAATAATGGTGTAGTCAGCAAACCAATTGTCCAAAAAGATGAAAGCAAGTCATATTATTTTAAAACTGAGGAACAAAAATTTGAGAATAAATCTTTCATGGTAAATATATACTATATATATTATATATAATAATTTTTCATATAATAAAATAGTTAAGCAAGATAATATCATGTTCAAGGAGTTGACAAACCAAGAAAAAGAACCCGATAAACTAACAATAAGTTTAAAGGATAAGATATCAAAGAATTTTTAAGGAATTGTACTTGCAAATTGCTTTTTCAATAATAGTTATTTATTATTATTCATTTCTTTAAAACATAGTTAATTAATATAAACAAGAAAATATTCCTATAGGAGAATTAGTAGAAAAAAGAAAAAATCAATTTCCATTCAAAATAAATATAAATAAATAATAAATGAGTTATAAATTAAAAATTTAAATTTTACAAGTTATAGATAATTTATCTTAGAACTCATTAACACATACACGTACAAGAAGAAACATAAAATGCTTTAAATTGTTCTCATTCAAGTAATTACAAACTGTATTCGCATTAATTTATAAATAAACATTATTAAGTTTTAATATGTTTTACGATTTTTATGTTCCTCTATTGCTTTCAACACATCCTGTCTGTCTTTCTCATATTTGATACCAATTTCTATTAAATCTTTATCCGTAAGTGTTAAAAATAAATCAATGTCTACCTAGATAAAATAACAAAGAAACGGAGAAATTTATATATAATTTAAATTGCAGAAACTGATATCAAAATTAAAATAGAAGCTAAATGGAGAGCTAAATAGAATTAATTATAATTAATTTACTATTTATTAGCTATAAATTTGCAAGAAATAATATTATTACTCGTTTTGAAATAATATTTCAGAAATAATATTATTATCGTTTTGATGGCAAGTTAGATGCATTCTCTCTGATATAAAAATAGTACTTACTTCCTGTTCAAGAAATATAGGGATATGTTGGTTCAGTCCAAAGTGTTTCAATATCATAATCATTTTTGTCTGCGACCAATTTAGAAGCATTCCTTTCGGTGGTGTTTTGCAGCGCGGCGGTGTCGGAGTATTTTCGCCAAACACATTCTCCTCATTAACATCTGGGGGTACATGAGGTGATTTGAGAGGGCTAAATTCGGGTGTGAATCCGAGAGTGACATTAAGATCGCAAGAAAAACTTTTCGTATCATCCGAATTAAATCTACAAGAATTTATTTGTGTTTGTCAAAAATTTGTGTTTCTCAAGAAATAATATTTTCTACGTATTTATAATATTTCAAGGAACATTAATTTAATGCAAGAAAGGAATATATTTTTTAATTTTAATATAAATAATTTCTTAATTCATTACACTTGATCTACCTTTTAAGTGCAACAGGTGATTCAAACTCGCTCGTCATGTAATCCTTTTTCGTTGCCTTTTTGCTCTCATCTTTATCCTGGAAAAATATATTCGATTTTTCTGTAAAATTCTTTTCAAAGCAAACAGCACTCGGGGATAGTACGAATACGTCGTATGTTAAGTTTGGTGATATTAAATCTTGCTTGTGGGATTCTACAGGTAGAGATAAGTTCAACTTTTTTCGTTTTTCATTTTTGTTCTTTTTTGAAATTAATTTAAAATCTCTCGTCGTGCCGTCGATATTCTCCTCTATTTGGATATTATCTGATGTATCATTCCAATAATCATCTATAGCAGGATTTGCGTTCACCAAAGCGGCTATCTCGGGTATCGTAGAACGTTTCATCATAAGGAGAGTGTACTCATCTATGTTCAATACAAAAATTTATTTTTTTAACTATAATTTTTCTATACTTGAAATAAATAAATGATAAAACAAGAAGAGAACAAGTATAAAAAAAGATTCTATTTCACAAAAGTTTATATTATTTTTTTAAGATATTTTTCATCAAATATTATAATAATTGCCATTATGACAAATTAGTAGACAAGATGTATGATTTTTCAAAAGCAAGTCGTAACATACGTATAAATATTTGCACATGAAAATTTGTGACATAGTGAAAAATCATCTTACTATCAGTCGAAAGCGGCATGCCCAATTCCAACAGTCTAAAAAAAAGTTCTTTGTCGTTCTTCATAGCAGCAACACATAATGGAGTAATGTCATCATTAGCTGCATTCGCCAAAGCGTCTGGACAAGCGTTGTACACTGTTTCAAACATCTTCTTGCTGATCGCAGCAGCTAATCCGAGGACTGACATACCTATAATAATTAACAATATATCAATAAATAAATAAAAAATTTCCATTCATTTAAAGACATAATATTATACAGTTTTTATAATTTCAAAGTTATTATGCAATTATATGTAATATTTCGTGATTATTTCAAAACAATCATAAACTTTCATAACGTTTGAAAATTTGTATGTAAATATACTTCAAAATCATTACATTTGATAATAAAAATTAATTTATTGCGAATAGCTGCGATTTGTTTGTTTACCGAGGTAAGTCACTTTGTCAACTTGGGCGTTCTTCTCTAAAAGTAATTTTACAGTATCGATATTTCCGTTACGAATTGCTTGCATCAGCGGGGTCCAGCCAAATTTATTTTTCCTGTCTATGACATGACAATTTTCTTTCTGATTCAAAATTTCTTTTACGATTTGGAAGCAGTCATTCGCTGCGCTTATATGTAGCAAATTCTCATCATAATTATTTACAGCATTTAAGGTGTATCCTTAAAAAAATTATTTTATATTTCATTTATTTTTATAATAATAATGATCTCATATATAATGTGCGTTTTACAAATCTTAATAAGACGCGTATATAGTCAACATGTCTTTATGTATACAAAAATGGATGTATAATTTTTCGCGAAATAAAAAGCTCATATAGTTTAAGCATCGATCATTAAGTGCAGTAATTATTAAACGTCATTAATCAATTCATGTATTTTAAAAAAATATTATTACCTTGCTCATGCATCGCCGTAATCACTTGTGTTTCCACAATTTCTTTGATATTGTCATACGATTTTATTTCATCCATTATCTCTATTCTGATTATATATATTACACAAGTTTATTAAAATTTATTCATACATTAATTAAATTAATAAATTTTTTCAATGTTAATATTTAATTATATTATTACTAACATTGTCACTAAAATTTGTTCATTTATTTTTATTAAACTGATGATTATAATTCTCTACATCTGGGAAACAGTTCTGACTTTCATATAACACTGTACTAGTCTCTCTATATTATTATTTAAATTATGTGTGTATGTGTGTGTATATGTATGTATTATGTATATATATTTACGCGTGTGTATATGTATTTTATTGTTTTGCAATGTGACCTATTAGCAAATATTTTCTTTTTTTTCATACAGATACAGTTTGTCAGATAAGATAATAAATTTTTTAATCTTTAAATATATTAACAAATTCTCAAAGTATAAATAAATTTTGTAATAATTAAATGGAATATAAAAATAATAATTAATATCATCCCATGTGTATAATATTTTGAAGTTAATGAAATAATAGATATTTTGTATATATTTCTTTTGTAAAATACATGATTAACCGTCTTTTTTAAATATATAAACAATAAAAATTTAAAAAATTTAACTTAATACAATTAAAAGCACACATATTAATAAAAATATAAAATAAACATAAAATTTGCAAAAAATATTAAATATATATTAAATATGTATATGTCTTCTCTGTAGCTTTTTATTTCAGAGAAAAGTACTTTTGAACGACGGATGAATTAATTAAGGACAGTATTCGAGAAAATAATAATGAAATACATATACAATTCGTTCCCTTCGACTTATATTGACAATAAAATATACGATTAACTCTACCAAATGATTAAAGGTACAACTTTTAAACTAAATTATATATAATTTTTTCAATCTCTTAAAAGGTAAATTATAAAAAATAACTCCAAATAAGGAGACGCATGACATTTCCGCTCCCATTTCCGCTATGACCACAGATATGTACAGCTGGAAGCCAAGTGACAGGTGACGGTTCCTGATTCCGGGTCCCAGTCACGTCGTCTGTCATCGTGCACAAGGTCCCTCTGGTGTTTGTCCCAAGTCCCAAACAGGGATTCAGCAAGTATGCTGGAGCGCATTCAAAAATTCTGTTCGGAAATTCTCGTGGAATAAAGTAGCATTTAATTGACCAATCAGGACCACAAAAGAGCAAGGCTTTCTTTGTTCTGATTGGTTGAATTCAATGCTACTCTACTCTATGATTAAAATTTTCGAACGCACCTTTGAATATGCTCTTCGAGATACGTTACGTATTGCATTGCATCGCATTGGGGTTAACTGTGATTCTGTCGTGCACCGCTGCCAAGGTATATCGTCGACGAGAGAGTGAGAGAGTCGATACTGCAAACGGCGACGAGGACACGATCGTGGGAATTCACGAAGTCGTCCAATAACCTCTGGGAAATCGCTCGTTTGCTTTTCGTTTTCGTCTCTCCCTTTCTAACTACACGAGAATTGCTTGACCTATAAAAATTACGTCAAGAAATATACATTTTTTTACACAAATACGCTTTCTTCTAATAAATGCAAATTCGCGAGATTTATTCTTTGAAACCGTTTGCCTTGATTGCAAAATAACGTTGCTTGATGTAGAAGTAAACGTACAAAAGCATATGTCTCGATTATGACACTTGTTTGCATTTTAATTCAAAAACTATCAAAATTTATTAATTCAGACAATAAATGTAATTTTTATTGTTAATTTGCATTGGATGTTTTCGAATTAGATTGCATCAGTAATCTTAATGTCTTCAGATTAAACTAATCTCATTAGCATTTGTTATCATCCACAGGAGGAAGAGAAGATCTTATAATGTATCGTTTCTGAAAAACATGCAAAGATAATTAATGATGATTGAAAGTAAATTATTATAATGCAATTTTACCCATGTTGGACTAAGGTATGTACATATTTCATCTGGGAAGACTTTTTTATAGATAAACATATCTTGAAACATTTGAAATTTTCAGATTAATCTTTTCCTCCATTATGCTGGTTATGCAATTGTTTAGTTCAATTAGAAATTATTTAACCTCAATAAATATATTTATCAGTGGTCAACAAATCTTGGATATATTTCTCATAAAGGCATAAATACAAAATGGTGATAGTTTAGTAATGTGCCTTTGGTATTCCAACGTTACTATGACGGTAAATATTACACAATAAATTTAACTATATTTAACTTTCTAAGCAATGAAAATATTTTCAAACAATCTAACATTTACTATAAAATTTTCACCTTTTTTCTTTTTTGCTCTTGCAGGAATCATCTTGACATTTTAAAGAAAAATACCTAATAAAAATATAAATTTTTCAAAGGTGTGGCTATATATATATAAAAATGGATAGTTCAGAGTATGAAATGGTCAGAAACATGACTCTTCTCTTCTTCTTTGAACGACTGATGGACAAGGGTGGTCCACGTACATTGCATGATCTAAGCTGCCAGTTTGGAGCAAAAGGTTTCACCAAGGAAATGCGTCAGATAGCAGGAGGATCGCAAAGTGGCCTTAAGAAATTTCTAGCACAATATCCGGCACTATTTTTGATTAACGGCGATTACGTGTCCGTTAATACATTTCAACCGGTTGTAGAGGAAGAAAGCGGAAATAAAACTGGTAAACGTGATTATGCTCTCGAGGCCGTAGACTACTTTACGAATAAGTTATTGCAATATGGAGTGGGCACCGAGGTCCCTATCAAAAGTCTCTTGGGTCATCGATCGCAAGCCTCGCCAGAAGTTAGGCATATATCTGGTCAACACTACAAGGAATTCCGCGATTTTCTTTTGAAGTATCCCGATGCGTTTATAATCAGCGAAGATAATGTAATATTGAAGCAATATGAAGGCATGAAACCAGAACCTTTTCATGAATTAGAACCAGATATCCCAATAGATCCTGATGTTACAGCCAAGCTGTTAGATTTTTTCTGTGTATGCATTGAACGGAAAGGCCCAATTGTTATAGATCAACTATTTAATATGGTCAATGAAAAATTCTCGCACGAAAATTGGACAAGTATATTTAACACACCACAGGATTTATCTACTTTTATAAAAATGTTCCCGGATGCTTTTCATGTACAAACTAATTTAGTGACATTGATAGGCCGACCGAAATCTTTTATGACAGAGCCTGTGGCTGCAAAAACAAAAGTTACAAGTGGCAACCAGCGTAACAGTGTGATTCATACGAATAATGCAGTACCAGTCGTCTCACCGAGCAAGATTCAATTCTCTCAACCATCTTTGAATCAATCAGAGAATGTCTGTAATAATGTGACACTTCAATCTAATTCGGTGCAAAACACATGCACATCACCTGTCGAGAGCAATAATAATAATTCACCGCCTGTTAGTTTGCAACAGCAGAGTCTCAAGCAGAGATTCAATACAATCGTTATGAGAACTCTAGCAGATAATACAGAGCGGGATCGCAGTTTACAAACCGCTCAGATGGGCGATGCATGGAAACTGAAAGTATTACAACAGACTAGAGTGATAGCAACAACGCGGGAAAGTCTTCAAGTTATAGAAGATATAATAAATCCTCGAAAGCCTCCTCCCGATGGTAAAGTGGTCGTGTCTTTTGATTGTGAGGGCATAAATCTTGGTGTCAAGGGACAATTGACACTTGTACAAATTGGTACAATGAGTGGTCAAGCATATATGTTCGATTTATTCACATGTCCGAGACTCGTTCAAGATGGAGGTCTCCAGAAATTGTTAGAACATCCTCATGTTATTAAGGTACCCAAAATATCATTAAGTAATAATAGAAAAAAAAAATATATATATATATATATATATATATATAATTAGTTCAATCGCATAAAATTGCACTTACTTTTACAGGTGATTCATGATTGTAGAAATGATAGTGTCAATTTATACAATCAGTTTACGATTACATTAATGAATGTTTTTGATACACAGGTAATGTTTTTTGCTTTCTTTTTCCAAATAAATATTAACATATTATTAGAAGTGTAATTTGAAATTGTAATATCTCATATACTAGGCGGCACATGCAGTGCTTCAGTTCCAAGAAACAGGAAAGCCTGTGTATAAAGTCAAAAATGTTAATTTGAACACCTTGTGCGATCATTATGGTGCTCCATGTAATCCGCTTAAAGAACAATTGAAAAATATTTATCGTAAAGATCAACGCTATTGGTCTCGGCGGCCCATGACGCGAGACATGTTAATTTATGCAAGCAGTGATGTTTTGAGCCTTGTACCTCAAGTTTATAATGCTATGTCTAGGTATAATTTTATTCGCTATTATTTTGAATAGTCAAATTTTATAAAGCTAATAACAGCATATTTTATGTATGATTTCTCTAATGAAGATTTCTGTATATTATTAACAGACTTATAAAGCCGGAAGTACAAGGCCTTTTTGCAGAATTATGCGAAGAACAAATTCAAATGCATATAAGACCAGCAGATGTAAAAGCGCGTAAGAGACAACGAAAAATGGAGACTGAGATGGTAGATCTGAAAAAAAGAATGGAAGAAGCAACGAGTAAAAATATCGTATTAAGTAACCGCGAAATTCGACTTCTCCGTTGGATGGATCTTACCGAGGATGAAAAGGAAAAACTTAAAGCAAATCATAAAGTTGCTAGAAAACTGGAAAAATTAGAGAATATGGGCCAGGATAAAGGTGACAGTAGCGATGATGATGATGAGGATAAGACAGATGATCCTGAATATCAGAGTTTGGAAAGTTACACATCGGAAAATTCTCATTCTGGTAAAAGATTTTACTACATCAAAATGAGCACACACACTTTGTGCGCATTTTAATTAAAAATAAAAAAATTCAATAAATTATAATTAAATAAAAATTATCAATTCACATTAATTCAAACAAAAAGATTATTTTTCGTATATCTTAGATTTATTGAATTTCCATAATGAGTTTGAAATCAATTTCTCTAGGTGGTATATTGTCTCCGCGAAATGCTGACACTCCAAGCTTAACCGAATCGATGCAAATGGTGGATGAAATACTCTCAGACGGGCGAATGGATAAGCTGGAAAAGATAGAAAAATTGGAAGCTATATTATCAGCTGTTACTAGCTGTGCAACTGATCAGCTTTCTGCCAACAGTGCTGATGCATCACCTACCAAATGCGTCTGCTTGTGTCAAAGTGATCGCCAAGTCGCTAGAAGTAGTGTGGCTTGTCAAACACTTAGTACAGGTGATATAGTAATTACTAGAATTTTTGTCAGCGAGGAGGAAAAAGAGAGAGTAAGATTACAGAATTCGCCAAAAAAATAGATATTACAGCTGCTGTGAAAGTAGTAGAAAAGTTGCCATTTATAGGTTTTTTATAAAAGAGAATGAATGCATAAGAAAAAAGTAGTTAAAATTTATCTATTTTATGTAATATAATAAGATTCATATAGAGCAGAACTAGCGAAATTTACAAAACATGCTTTCTGGCATCTCTGCTCCCTTAAAAAGTGTCTTAAACGAAATAAGCCTTGCTATATATGCCTTTTCAAATCTGATGATAGAATAATCAGATTTTTGCAAAAAGGTTATTAATTTTATACGAGGATATTATTTTTATCTGCCTAAAGATTATCTTTCTTTTACAAGCATTTAAGAAAGACCGAATCATATTTAATGACAAAATATAAGTATAGACAAGGCTTTTAATAGCTGCACATGTAATTTTTGACAAATTACAAATTGTAGCGTTTTATATTCAATTCAAAATTAAATGATTAGAAGACGATTAAAAAATTGCTGTTTCTTTTTAACCAAATTGTATATACATTTTAACAGAAGAATTGTTATACCATTTGTATAAGCGTGATTATTAATGATAGCATTGCGAGAAATTAACAGAAGAAATGCATATCATGCTTAAAAATTTTTTTTATGTGAAGTACTGCATTAAAATCGCTGATTTCTGAGAGTTTTACATGGCCTACTTTGTGTGAACCATCGGCAATAATAGGGCATAACAGTGATTTATTTAAGCAAATTTTTCTCTGCAGAATTTTAATTTGTGCACAGGAGATAAATTTATGTAGATTCTCATAAATTTATGTAGATGTCTCTTCTTCCTTACATTACAGATGCAACTTATTTTCGTATATATATATAACTATATATACAAGTGCCAATTTAAGAATAGAATATGTACAGTAAATTAACAAATAGATACATTTTATATTTCTATATAATTATATATGCTTAATGAATAATTATGCTTGCACTTCCAATAAGAGATTATAATTTAATAGCATTAAATAAAGTCTGTGCATTATTCATGAGAATATCATAAAGATCTGCTTTCACTCTTGTAATATAGCAATATCATTAATATATGAACTGCCAAATAAATTGATAAAATAACGATTGTAAGAGATCTATAATTCATTATTACAAATTGAAAGTGTTTTTAGTGCAATACTTTACACATAAGAAAATAATATGGTTATATAATATACATATCAATTGTATCACCTTTTTTTAATATTAAAAATATATTATGAAAATATATAAGGGAAAGTATATAAATAAATCATCAACAAATCATTCTCATTATATTTACTATCAATGGAATCTGAGGCTCAACTAGTATCAAATTATTCAACTGTCTCGTGTATGCTATTCATAAATTATTTAAAAAATTGTTACAATATATATATATGGACAATCTACATAAGCTTATTTCTATATAATCGAACACTGATATTGATAAAAAAATATCTTTTATAAGTTTAAAAATTTTTTAAAATATAAGACGAGTACATCGAACGTTTCTTAATATTGTAATGTAAATGTTTTTATTATTTCTCATTATAGTTGAAAAAACAAAACAATAAGAGAAAATAATAATTATGTAAAAACTTCGTTTTGTGGAATATATAACTGCATTGTTATTAGAAAATGCAATTTGATTCATTGCACGTGTATAAAAATATTACATTTGGTGTTTAAATTATTTCGGCAGCTCTATTTATGCGTTATAATATTATTTTATGAATAATTTTAGAATAATTTTCACGTTGCGAATGATACTCGATATACGGAAACTTTATGAAAATGGCAACATCATATATACATACACAACATTATTGTTATATACAAATTATATTCAGAATGAGAGAACTTGATAGAATTTTTTATATATTCGAATGTAAAACATCTTTATGTAATTTTGGGTTTAATTTTATTCATATTATCTCTTTTTAGATATATTTTAAATTCTTTCTTAGTAATCTATATCATAACACAAATTTCTATAAATGCATAATACAACATATTATATAATAACAATTGTTATATATTCATAACACAAATTTTTTCTGTATATCGACAATCAACCATATCTTTGCATTCGTATTGATTTTTTTAAATAATGTGCATATTCTATATGATTTTGAATGAATTTTGAATTAAATTAATTATTGTTAATTATTGTCATTTATAAAATTATTCACTATTTGTTAAGATTTAGGCAGTGTGTAAAAGAATATTTTTTTATACTGCAGGATTCAGTCCAATTTAATTCAGATCAATGCAAAGAATTGACAGAAAAATTGTACAGTATTTGTTTGGTGATAAGTCTGCAAGTTTATTAATTAATTATTTAAATTGTTATTTCGTTCAATGCCTGAAATTTTCGGAAAAGAAAATGTTTTAGTATCATTATTCTATACTTATTACTATTACATTTTCCTTTCTAATTATCTGGATGATTTAATATTATAGGCAATATTTTAAGGATGGATCGTATGAATTATTTTATAATGCATTTATATATCAAATTATACATATAATAATTACACTAAAAGCAAAGAACATCACAAAAATATTTATACAAAAGGATGCTGATTTACATAATTATTAACGATGACTAATTTATTACATATTGATGCAAAATAAAACCTAAAACAAATGTACGTAATAAAGAATATTATAAAAAAAATAAATGCATTATTTATGTTTTACACTTTAAACTTTATATATCTATATATCTATATATTTACAAGTAAGTAAAAAAGAGATAATTCTTTTTTTTTACATATAAATGCTGCAATTCTAAGAAATCTATAAGAAAAATATAAAAAAGTGTTTAAAAAATATATGTATAATAAAAAGAGAAGCTTTTATAATTTCATTAATAACACTGCGATTACATATTAATCTAGTCTATATAAATAAAAGTAAAAATATAAGACGTATTTTAAATTTCTTCTCTTTTAATCTTTTGATTTATAGAATACATTGTAATACAATTATTTAATCATTAGTATTATATTTTAAAGAATTGAATAATAAATGACAGAAATATATTGCTTCTCTATTGTAATATATATAAACAAAATACATCAACTTTATGCACATAGATTATATATGTATACATTTTTATACTTTAATCAAAAATTATTATTTTTTTATATTATATAAAATTATTTAAGAGGATGTACAACTTGTTTTGGTAGGCTAAGTTGCATGTATGAATTGATATATTTTTCAATTAAATTTCCTTCCGAGAAAAATCGTTTTGCATAAATTGAATATTCTGTTCCACATAATCTTGATTCTAAATCTGTTATATTTTCACTTGATAACATATTAATGACACCTGGAGGTATACCAGATATTGAAAACATGTTAAAATATTGTGATAAATTACAAAAATTTACATTAAATATCACAATAACAGAATTTCCAGCAAGTAAACTTTGCATCAATCGAAAAAATAAAGTATTTTCATTTTTCTCTTTAAGAATAATAATGCCTTTTGGTTTACGAGTTATTATTAGTTCGTATTTTTCTTCTAGAGTACAATAACCATTTGAATTTTCATAAAGACATGCGAATTCCATACATTTTGATATTAAAGTTGATAATAAAAATTCGCTAAAAAAATTAGAATAAAGGATTATCACAAGATTGAATTAACATAAATATGCATATACATCTATATATATGTAAAATAAGAAATACATTAAATAATATTGTGTAAGTAAAAATTTTTAATCTTTTTAATCTTTAAGGATCATTTTAGATCATTTTGAATCTATTATTATTATTAATATTTTTAACAATAGAATATCCCAAAGGCCTTAATTAATAAAAAAATATTTAAAATTTATTTTTCAATTCTCATTATACGATTATTTTTTACAAGTGTTAAGGTTTACAAGTATTAAGGTTTTTACAAGTATTAATTATTTTTTACAAATATGTTTTTTGTAACTTTTTTTAAACACTTTGAGATACTTAAAATTACGACATTATAACTCATATATAATTATGATTAAGGCAAAAATGTACAACCTACAAGACTTAACATACCGATAGTATAATGTTTTTGCAAGCTTAGATAATATTTCTATTCTAGAAGCAATGGTATAAGCGTGCCAAATTTCGAATCCTTTCTCTGCTGACTTAACGCATCTCCTAATATCGTCGCTACAATAATAATAAATTTATTATAAATTTAATATATGTTTTATGTATTAAGTTGTTAAGCTCGCAAAATTATTGTAGTTGAAAATAAGATAAAAAAATACTCATACTTTGTTGCATTTGCAAATATTTCGTCATTACATTTCCAATACATGCCTTTCACAGGTTTTTGCCACATGCCATCATAAAACAGATTATAAATTATAGGATTTGATGTAAATTGTTGTGCATTTATTTTTATAGCATTATTAGATGGAGTTATATCAAATATATGCAAATTCGTTTTGTCGATACTATTCATAATTATATGATCTATTAAATTGTCAATTATTCTTGCAAAAGGCACAAGCAAGATGCCACCAGTAAAATCCATATGTGTATTTATGAATATGATATCTCCCTGAATAACAAGAAAAGGATATTTCAATAATGTTTGAAATAAATTCTTTTGGAGATACTGTATTATGTAATTTAAATTATGTACATCTAAGCACGAAGCTAAATTTTTTGCAGTTACAATATCCTCTGACCATATAGATATGGTGCTCATTATGCTTTTACAAGATGTATTAAATGTAAGTAATAGCTCTTGTTGTGATCGAAGTATATGAATAGGACACTTAAAATAATTAAGATATTTTTTTATAAGCTCTAAAAATTTTTGTCTTATTGATTCTTGAATCCAAATTTTATTTACACAAGAATTATCCATCATCATTAAACAATTAATAACTGCATACAAGTCTGAATCTTCTAGAATTATCATTTCATTTTTCTGATCTGTGTAAATTTAAGATTTTAATTATAAGATAAAAAGCACATTTTTACATTACATTAACAATATATTTTCCTTACTTGATTCATTTATCATAATTTTAATATAGTAAAAAAAAATTTCGCTCATAAATAATGCTGAATCATCTCTAGAATATAAACATAATGAATGTATGTGTGTGTGTGTGTGTGTGTGTTTAAAGTTCATAATATATGTTAATACAAGAAATACACAACATTAAATGAAATACGTAATAAATGTAACTATAAATATAATAACATTACTAAATATATAATTAAACTTTTAGTAAATAGTTACATAATAGCGCGTTGCAAAAATAAAATAATTGCTTCTTCTCTACACATATTAAAAACTGTAAGCATTAATGATATAGGTATATAATGTTCCTTATATGCATACTCTGCCTTGTCTACAAAACAGATTGAAAAAATAAATATATTTTAAAAAATGAAATAAAACATAAAAAATGAATAAAACAATAACAATATAATTAATATTTTAACAATTGCAAAAATAATGTTATACACATACCATATTCTTGATTAAACACAAATTGACCACCATAATATTGTAAATATTCGATAATAGCAACAACTACATCTATATGTTTACAAATAGGTACAAAATAAAGTAAATGTGTTCCTATTATAAGTGCTGTATCAAAGAATCTATACAAATACAAAAAAGAGAAGTTATTAAAAAATAATGCTAAACATAGAATCTTTTACATTTTTTATCATATCATATCTTAATATTAATACAGCACAGAACATTGCAGTAATATTGCAGCAATGTTCTGAGCTGTATGGGAAATTATTTACCTGTGTGATAAATTAACATCCTTTTCTTTTATTTGTTTGGATAAATTATGTATTACTATTAATGCTTCCTAAAAAATATACACTTATCAAAAGTAATAAATTAAGGATTCTTGTTTCCAATATTAACATTAAATTTTATAATTTACTTTAAGAGTATATAGTATATATATACTTTAAGAGTATATTTTTATATGTATTATATATATTCACACTCACTTCTTTAGTGACAAAATGATATTCGAGATTAGTATAATATTTGTTTATAGTTTGTTCATACATGACTTTATCAACTTTTTCAATGACCTTTATGAAAAAAATTAAAGATATGAGTCTGTAATTATCGATTAATATTGCTAGTGATCCCTAAACAATATATGCTAGAAACAAAAGAAAATTTTGCACATACAAAAATATACATACATTTGCGAAAAAAGTCTTTAATTTTGAAGAAACAAATTGATTATGCAAAGCAAATTCTTTGTCATCAAATTAATATTTTCGTGTTATTAGCACAATGAAAGTATAATGAAAAAAAATTCAAGAGAAAGATATATTATTATGTAAACATATATATTACATATCCATTGTTTATATCTCTCTCATAGATCCGTAAAATTCACATAACATTTTTTGAACTCTAATTTTTTTTTCTTTACTTTATTGCGGGATTAAACACTCTATATATAAAGATCTTCTCGCAAAACAAAATAATTATTATGCAAAAAACAAATCTTGATTACTTAACACTGCTGCAAGTTTTTACATTTGATTGTGAAAGATTAAATTCTCTATAATGGTATCTTTTGTATGTGAGAATTGTAAAAAAAAATATATTACACCATACGCCAAAAGTGAAGATTGATTATCAAATAAAGAATTTTCCCAAATTCCTATCGTAAGCCTTTAGAACCTTTACTTTATACGACAAATGTAATATTACCTTAAAAATATCATTTTAAACACAAGAGACGCGTCAAAAGTAAGAACAAAATTAAACTAATTAATCAGCTGATGTCATAGGTCATAGATATATAAAATACATAGACGTAGCATTAGCTACTGATATTGACAAATGGGGATAAAGCAAACATCCAAATGCGATTTTCGATTTCTTTCGAGTAGGCTCAGTTTAGCTATTTGTGATTGGTGGGTGTTTCATCTATATATTTTGTATGCTAATCCAGGCAACATACACTTATGTTTACACGACATCCAAAGCACTGAGAGGTTAGGTTATGTTAGGTTAGGTTAGATTGAAAAAATTTATCGTTTAACAGTTGGCAGCCCTACGAGATAGGCTGTGCAGCACTGCGCGTATACAAAATAAATTTGAAATCGCTTCTAGTCTAATCATCTTTACGCGATCGACTTTATTTGACTTGCACGACATCGCATCAAATTATGATGTGGCGCCGATTTGTTCGAACGTAATTCGGGACATCGCGATGCTGTATAAGCGTCGAATGAACACGAATTGTCACGCAAATATGATAAATCACATCTACTCACCGTTCACCGGCTGTTCCACAGGCCGCTCCACTCGCTCGCCTCGGGACGTCCCATTCCGATCTTGATGCACACGATATCATCAACGTGAACGCGCGACACTTTATTCGGCACTCCCGATATTCGCTCGCATCCGATAATCATCATCAAGGGCGCAAATAACGCGACGCGACTTCGCTCCATCTTCGCAATGACCGCCATCACTGAATATCGTCAAAAATCGCTGTCGCGCGTTTCCATCGACACACTATGAAAGTCGCGCGATCATTCTTGGACACTTTCGACGCTCGTTCACTTGCGATATTCGTTTAAAAACGGTTAAAAGACGCGAAAAATGCGGACGTTCGACGATCCGTGTAACTGCGTATGACTCCGAGTCACGTATGACGCGTATGACGTAGCTATGACGCGTATGACGTAGCAGTCACGCGCCAACATGGCGGCCGAACCACTGCGCATTCGTTTCTGCACATGACCATTCCTGCGCGCAACGTTCGCACAACTTTGATTTCTGAAATATTGTCTACGGCTTTAATTAATAGCACATAATGATAAATATATAAAGATGGAATCAATTAATCATATTGATCATATATGTAGACTTGCCTGAAGAAAGAGAGTTGTTCTCGATGTTCACTTTTAAAGGAATAAAGAGAATTATATATAAATGTAAATAAATTATCCGAAGAGAGAAAAAATTGAGAGATATTTTTAATTTTTTAATACAAAATGGAAATGTCTATTCATAGGCTTGTTCTTCTTTTCCTCTTTCGCGCAATTTCGATTCAATATATAACGTAGAAAATTCATAGTATATTATGCTAATGATATGAATTACGAATGATTCGATTGTTTTATCGCGCTTTTCCAAAGTCAAATCTTATAATATTTACTTTTGCATTTTAAAAGATTGAGAGCGAACTAAATAAATAAATAAATGATGTTGAGAAAAAGAAAAAGAAGACTCATAAATAAATAAATATATAAATATATAATAAAGATTGATATTAATATATACATATATATCGTACGAACTTGTACGATCTCAAAATCTTTATCTTTTATTCCGTTACTCGAATACTTGTACGTTAACAGATTTAGGTTACACACATTGCATAAAGCTTCGATATTTTGCAATCTTACCTCATCTCAATTTGGAGAAGCACGTGCATTCCTTTCGATAAATGTCCGCAAAAATACGTCGCGCTTCAAATAAATAAAAGTCACTCGATATTGTGCACGATTCTAATCATACGAAATATATTCGGCGATTTTTTTGGATCACTGTATTATCGGAACGTGCGACGATTCAGAACGTGCGACGATCAGGACGATTCGAAAACGATTCATATACAGAATTTGAAGAGATATCCAATGCACGACAAATTATACTTGCGTTGATTAGTATTCATCAACACCGAACTGTTAATCGCGAATACGTGTACAACACTCCCACACATTTTTTTCGCAAAGAACGATATACGAAATGCAATATTTCGCGCCTCGCGTTTCACACAATGCGACAACTTTTTTTGCTGTTTAGTATCGCCATCTGCATTCACGTTAAACGCCAGAATTACGTAGTCCAATACTTTTCGAGTGCCGGTAAAGTCATCATTTTGTGCATGTCGGTAAATTGTTAGAATCGCGTCGCGCAAGCATAATTTTTTTATTTATAGTATAATAAAATATGTAATTAAAAATTCATGTAAGAAACGTATTTTTAATCAAATTACATATACTTATTCCGTTATTCTAATACTTGTACGTTAACAAATTTAGGTTACACACATTGCATAAAGCTTCCAGAGAAAAATATCCAGAGGCACAAATATTTTATAAACGAAAACCATGCGAAGATGAAACAATAGATTAAAGAAGCCGTATAATCATTGTACTTTTATGTATAAACGTCTCACAAAATAAAATCTTGATAAATGAAGCGTTACATTAAAAAAATTAGTATAAAATTAAATATCCATGTGAGATTTAAAATTTGTTGTCCTTTTTTTTCTTTAGAATTTTTTTACTTTTTTTTCTAAAGATTCTTTAAGCGAGAACTGCTTCTTTCGCAAGACTATTGAACAATTTGAATGTTTGATATTTTCTTAGTAGTTTAAATTTCGTGAAAAAATTCTAGAGAAAATTAGATTTTATCGTATTACTGCACATATCGATTAAATGCTATATCAAATATGTAGCGTAAATATTTTAATTTTTTTGTATACGATCTACTTTTTATTCTATCGATGTTTTCATAGTGATGCACCTTGAGCTTGCTTCATGTTTGCAATAAAAATATATTAAAGCAAATTATTTTGCAAATTTATTATTCTAATTTTTATTTAGAAAGATTAAGATTAAAAAAGACGTATGAATTTTTTCAGATAATTCTATTGAAAAAAACGCATCAGATAAAACTGACTTTCCTGTACATTTTAAATGTGCCAAAAGATTTGCTCTTTATTCCACTTACTGCAATAATGTACACTAAAAATGACAAATCTATTAAAAATGATAGATCTATATTTAGTAGTTGGAAAGAAAGAGAGGAGAAATGAAAAGTGCATCTAGAGAATTTAAAAGAATAAAAAACAAATCTAAAAATAATAATACATAAAGATTAATATTATGTATTTTTTTCATGAGGAATGTGGGGCGCACATTTATGCATTTATTTATTTAGATGAGATTTACTTTAGAGCACATTCAGTATTCAACTTTAATTTTATTTTCTCTTTCTTACGATATATAAGTATAACATAATTACCTGCAAATGCTATCATTTTTGTATGCTTACAGTGATACAGAAACAATATTACAAGTACTATATTTACAGATAACATCTGTATAATAAAAAAAGCACCAAAAGTCTAATGGTGAAAAAAGGGTAAATATTGTAGACCAGCATAAGTATCAACTAATTATTCCACCGCTCTGTTTCATTGGAGTTGCAATTTTCTTTTATAATATCATGAATATTATAAATAAGATAAAGATTTCAGTACGTTTCAAATAAATTTATATATTTTATGTATGTAATACTGCGCACACATATTAAAAGGTGATAATATCGCAGGTATAATAAGATACAATCCTGGCAATGTAGCGATGTTTGGATTCTGAAAATAATTTAATTTGATTTATTTTTGAGAAATGCGCACAATACTTGAGAGCAAATTACTTTTGTGCCATGTATTACCTGTTTCCAAACTTCCACACACAGTATCATATTGTCTGCGGTATATGAAAAGCTTCATCGATGAAATAAATGATTGAATATGATTGAGATATAAGAAAAGTACTTGTAATGTAGTAATATAGTACTTGCAATGAATAACGTTAATGTGGAATACGTAAATATTTTATATTTTAATTTCATATAATCGAGATGAGATAAGACACTCATGATTACTTTAAAAATGTGTCCACAAATATCATGTAACTTCAATAACTGCACATTCGTCAAATTAATCCTATTACGTTAAATAAATCACAGCAGCTTGTTTTAATTTAATCTAACCTAACCAATTATATTATATGCTCCTCATTAAAATGTGTAAAACTGTACGTCGCACATTTAATGCGATTAATATATACGTAATAAAATGTAATACACTAATGAAATAATTAAATATTATTTTTGAAAGCATGATACAATCCAGGCAGCATACGCTTGTATTTACATTCGATATCCAAAGACACTGAGAGATTAGGTTAGGTTAGGTTAGATTCGATCAAACAAATTTATCGTTTAACAGTTGGCAGCCCTACGAGATAGGCTGTCCTACGAGATGTGCAGCACTGCGCGCGCGTACAAAATAAATTTGAAATCGCTTCTAGCCGAACCATCTTCACGCGATCGACTTTATTTGAATTGCACGGCATCGCATCGAATTATGATGCGGCGCCGATTTGTTCGAACGTAATTCGAGACATCGCGATGCTGTATAAGCGTCGAATGAGCATGAATTGTCACGCAAATATGATAAATCAAATCTACTCACCGTTCACCGGCTGTTCCACAGGCCGCTCCACTCGCTCGCCTCGGGACGTCCCATTCCGATCTTGATACACACGATATCATCAACGCGAACGCGCGACACTTTATTCGGCACTCCCGATACTCGCTCGCATCCGATAATCATCATCAAGGGCGCGAATAACGCGACGCAACTTCGCTCCATCTTTGCGATGACGCCATCACTGAATATCGTCAAAAATCGCTGTCGCGCGTTTCCATCGACACACTATAAAAGTCGCGCGATCATCCTTGGACACTTTCGACGCTCGTTCACTCGCGATATTCGTTTAAAAACGGTTAAAAGACGCGAAAAATGCGGACGTACGACGATCCGTGTAACTGCGTATGACTCCGAGTCACGTATGACGCCTATGACGTAGCAATGACGCGTATGACGTCACGCGCCAACATGGCGGCCGAACCACTGCGCATTCGTTTCTGCTCATGGCCATTCCTGCGCACAACGTTCGCACAACTTTGATTTCTGAAATATTGTTTAATTAATAGCACATAATGATAAATATATAAAGATGGAATCAATTAATCATATTGGTCATATATGTAGACTTGCCTGAAGGAAGAGTAAAAATTGAGAGATATTTTTAATTTTTTTTTTTAATAAAAAATGGAAATGTCTATTCATAGGCTTGTTCTTCTTTTTCTCTTTTGTGCAATTTCGATTCAATATATAACGTAGAAAATTCATAGTATATTGCATTTATTTTTATATATTCACAACTATAATATTCGCGCGATCATTTTTTGACATTTACAATACTCGTGTATCTTGTTCTCGATGTTCATTTTTAAAGGAATAAAGAGAATTATATATAAATGTAAATAAATTGTCCGAAGAGAGAAAAAATTGAGGGATATTTTTAGTTTTTTTAGTAAAGGTTGGAAATGTCTATTCATGATAGAAATGCAAAGAAAGAAAATTATTATGTTTAAAATAATAATTTCATATGAAATACAAAATTAAAAGTTACATTATAGAACTTTACTTTCTAAAAGCGTAATAAAGCAATCAAATAGTAGACAGAGAAAAGACTAATTGTAAAAGAAAAAAAGTTGTTAACTTAACTAAATCATTTAACTAAATTATTATCTTTTTAACTGGAATATTTAACTATTATAAATCTAACATGACATTTATTTAACTTAAATATTTCAATATTTTAATTTAAAAAATAATAATTTAGTTAAACGGTTTAGTTGAGTTAACAAAAACTTTTTTTTCTCAATGTACGTGTGTGTGTGAGACTCTAAAAATATACTTGGATATAAATACACTTATATTATTAAACGATTAATACATCTCGTGAGTTTAATAAATAATTAAACTGTGTACACTGAGAAAAAAAGTTGTTAACTTAACTAAGCCATTTAACTAAATTATTATCTTTTTAATTGGAATATTTAACTATTATAAATCTAACATAACATTTATTTAACTTAAATATTTCGATATTTCAATTAAAAAAAAAATAATTTAGTTAAACGGTTTAGTCGAGTTAACAACTTTTTTTCTCAGTGTACGTGAGTGTGTGTGTGTGTGACTTTAAAAATATACTTGTATATAAATACAATTCTCACATACGTCACAATACGCGTTAAATATTTCGGCAGCGAGCTAACACGTCATTCGATCTTGTGACGTCATTTGGCCTTGTGACGTAGCGCGCTATTGTTTACATACGCGACGACCTCCCCTCATTCGCACGGCGACATTCCAACGGGAGAAAGTAGCGATACGGACCGCTCCGTATTATCGAATTCTTTTCCTAAAGGTACGATCGCGATTAGATCGAAATATAATAATTCGACTATTACAAATGACAAATAATTTACTCTTATAATAAATGCAATTGTGGCGACGATAAATTCATCGAAACGCGATCTTTCATTATTGCAAATAAAAATTGAAGCGAAAGGGGCAAAAATTACAAATTTTCTCGCAATATTCTCCGATTATCGAACTTTACGAATAATAATTATTTCTTTAACATTGCGTAGAATGAAATTCGATTTCGCCCGATTTTAAACTTTCCTAAACTGCATGCACATATATCATATTAATTAAACGATTGCTGTATCATCAATTTACATTACTTTAATATTTTAATCTTATGATTCGCGTTATTATGCATATATTATACATCAACAAATAGAAATAGTTAATTAGTGTAAGAATCGAGTGGTGCATGATTTTGAACTTCGTTTAAAAATCGAGCGAATTATTGTAATTTTTGTGTTCCTCTCTTGCAATAATAATAAAATAATAATAATATTATAAAAATACGTATCTCCTATGATTATTTTGCGATCGGGAGTGCCGTGCAAAGTGTCTCGCGATCGTTTCTGTATATGACTGAAATATAATTAACTGAAATATAATTGTTTGTTCGCGAGTGAATACGTGACTGCTACGAGGAAATAACAAAGGATGAAACAACAAAAGAGAAGGACATCTGGAAAAGTATCGGACAGTCAGAAAGCAGGGAGAGAGCCTGAAGCAGCCAGAGACATGCGGTGAGTAATTTATAAAAATTATTTATTATTTATTATTTATATACACTATTTTTAAAATAGATATATTGCTTATTATTTTATTATCGTTTTATTTTTCGATCATTTAAATATATAATTCGGATTGAAATGCAGTAAAACAATCGAATCGTAGATCTAAATAATTAACTTAACAAAAAGATCCATAAAAGATATATTAGTTCTTTTAATAAATAATATCGTATACTTAATCTATATAAAAATGAAATATTATTTATTTATTTCTAAATATTAACTACTATAAATTTAATAGTTATATATTTTGTAAAATTTAATTAAAAGAATCTTTAAGATATTCCAAAAGAAACGAAGAACTTTTCTCAACGTAGAAAAAGTTTACACATATATATTAGGATAGAAACGAAATAGAAATAGAAGAATAATCATTGCTCGTAAAGATTGCAACAAAGTAATAATTTATAATTTTGATTCCTATCGTATAATCGAGTATCGTATTTCGAGAGCAATCAACTATTTATTAATAATAAAATTGTATATAACTTACGAATATATTCCACTTATTCCGGACGTTAATATCGCGACAACGACGAATAAACTTTTCAAAAAAGTTCAATTCAACTATTTCATATATGAGACAGTTCTACCAATCACTGATACAAAAAACTCGTCAATTGACCAGTTGGTGAAACTGTTTCAGTCCTGAGTATTTTCTTAAAAGAGCTGTTGGCGCACATACATGCGTGTATTATGTTTACGCGCGTCACGCGTTCGAACGAACCTTAACATTCTCGCGGGTAAAGTCATTAGATTAACAAAGTACCGCATAGTGCAGATAGTGCACACTTTGTGTAGCTATCTATACTAAGTGTAATTTTTCTAACCTTGATTCTGGTTTGTCCTGTGTCCTGTTGTGTGTGAGGTGAGAAAACTCCTTCTGTTGCGCAGAAAAAGAAGAAAATATCAAAAATGCCAGGTTGTTGCGTGGAGAAATGCAACAATCGCAGCATATATCTATACTATCGGACGCCATTTTTGCTCCAGCTTATCTTATTGAGATCAAAATTGCGGTACTTTGTTAATCTAGTGACTTTAGCGTCAACCATTGGTTAAACAATGAAGCAACTACTTACTTCTTTGTTCAACCAATGGTTGACGCTACTTTTTAAGGTGCAATTTCATTGGCGCTAAAAAGTAGCGTCAAACATTGATTGAACAAAGAAGTAAGTAGTTGCTTCATTGTTTAACCAATGGTTGACGTTACTTTTTAGCATCAATGAAATTGTACCTTTAGCATCAATGAAATTGCACCTTAACTAATTGCACAAGTGCAGCTGTGCAGCAGTGCAGCTGAAAAGAACAGACTCTATGTTTAAAGAAAAAACTCAAAACTTGTATTAAAATGTTTTAAAAAAATTTTTACATATCTTATAACTTTACAATCTTTGATAAAATGCTACATCTTCATTATTATTACACAAACATGAAATCATAGTCGAGTTCCTCGAGTTTCTCTCCATTTTTCAAACATGTCATATTCAAGATCATTCATCTAGAGAAGTAAAATCTCTAACGAAGAGAATATGAATGTTAATATTCATGAATCTTCTATGTAAAAAAAAAATACGATATGTTAAACATTAATTTATCACGTATAACAAGTAAATATTCGTATTTTCTCACAATATTCAAGAGTTATGGAAAACCACGTGAAGTAACCTCTTGGCATTGCATGCATGTTCAAAAGAAAAAATTGCATTCAATTCAAACCAGTGGTCCATGGAATATATTATTTTTCGGGACGGATAACTTTGCTCTTGAAAGCTTACAAAGTTTGTATAATGAATAGTTAGTACTTTATTATCTTTTGATTGTAAAAATATATATATGTGTATATATATATAAATTACATATTATGTAGTAGGATCAAAAAACTAAGTCGATTAGAAGTTGTATCTGCGTATAAAGGAAAAAAGAATGCTGTTATACAATATGCAGAAGAAAAAGGAATTAATGTTAAACGATGGCCTCTTGAAGAGAATCCACAAGATTTTCACATTGGGATAGTTGTCTCCTTTGGCCACTTGATACCTTTAAATATTATAAATTCCTTTCCACTGTAAGTTGTTTTATCCATCTCAATACACATACATAAATTGTATTGTAATATATGTATTAATATATTTTTTTTGCCAAAGTGGTATGTTAAATGTGCATGCTAGTCTATTACCACGCTGGAGAGGAGCAGCTCCAATAATTTATTCCTTAATTAATGGAGATACACAGACAGGAGTTACAATCATGAAAATAATGCCAGAAAAGTAATCATTTTCTCTTAAATTAATTTTCTTTAAGTATTCTTTAAAAAATAAAAAATGTGATACAAGAGATAAATTTATATACAAGTTTAGTCTTTTTCATATTAGAAAAATTTTATAAATTTTTATTTAATTTTTTTTCAATTCTTTAATAAAAAAAAGTAGAAAACCATCTATACACTCAAGTTTTATTAATAAAAGAATGAATATATGCAACCAACTGTACATCACATAGACTGCAAATGATTCCTCATTACTTTCATGTTATTGCAGATTTGATATTGGGGAAATAGTAGCACAGGAAAAATTAGATATTCATCCAGATGAAACTTTACCAGAATTATATGTTAAGTTAGCAAAAATGGGTGCAAATATTTTAGTCAATGTAATAGGAAAATTGCCACAAGTATTATCACTCTTAAGACCTCAAGAAAAAATAGGCATAACGTATGGTAACTTTTACTGTCTTTTACTTATCCTTTTACTGCTGTACTAAGTAATAAAATACAATCATGTTTCAATTAATTAAATTTTTTGCTATTAATATTTCTCAATGATTACACATTGTAGCACCTAAAATTACATCAAATATTTCTTTGGTAAAGTGGGACGAGATGACTGCGAAAAATGTATATGATCTGCATCGCGGTCTCCTAGGATTGTACCCATTAACCACAAAGTTTGGTGATAAGACAATAAAATTATTCGATGTGCAGCAGACGTCGAAACCAATTAGCAGAATAAATGCGAAGAATGATGTACCAGGTAATCAATCAATCGTCATTCCTGTATGATTCAGTACAGTACTAAATCAATTCCAAGAATTGTGAAACGCTAAACCTTCAGTTTATTCCTAGGAAAAAAAAATTATTTATCTGAAAATATAATTATACACACACACACACACACACACACATATATATATATATATATATACACATATATATTATATATATACACACATTATATTCATACACACATTGTGTTACATATTATTTTCGAATAAAAGGCATGTGATTGATGTGAACAACTTTCCAGGTTTGGTAAGATTTGATTGGAAAAGCAATGTATTAATTGTGACATGTAAAGGAGAAAGTTGGATCTCGGTAAAAAAAGTAAAAATAACAGGTTATTCACCTATGAACGCGATGGACTTCAGAAATGGATTTATGCAGGGCAAAATGAAAGAAAAGATATTTTTTCACAGTAATGTAATATAATTTACAGCGCCACTTTTGTCTCAGACACTGTAAAATTCCTTTATAATTCTATGATAATTTTATTCAGAGAAATAGATAATGATATTAAAATTTTATTTACTACAATAGCAAGATTTATATAATTTAGAATGTACAAAATGTAATATTGACGCAATGATTTTATTATGAGAATAAAGAGATATTTGTTTATATATCAATGTTTTTTTTATCCTGGAATATTTATAAATTATTATTTTTATTTATTTTATATTTTATTTTTGTATTTAAACTGATATACTTTTGTATCATGCGAAAATATTCTTTTGTATATTCTTTATATATATATATATATATATATATATATATATATATATATATAAAGAATATATATATATATATATATTATATATATATTTTTTTTTTTTTTTTTTGCTAAAAATTCTCTTCTCACAGAATCGCTACAATATAATACTATAAAGCGTTACGAAAAAATCAGTGAAAGAAATAGCGTGAATCTAAGGCTCAAGTAAATCATTTTCAAGTGAAAGTTTGTAATGATAATCTTTTTATAGATTTTCTTTAAATTATAGCAAAATTTCTCTCTTCTTCGTTCTCTTGTGTATCTTATAAAAAAAAAGAAAAAAATATATAACAACATTGAATGCCTTATTTATTAACGTAGAATTGTAGTTGTAGATAGAAAATTGTTGATATTAAGTCTCAGTTTCAGAGGCCTGAAATAAAAGAAATATTTTTACTATAAAAACTTCTTTCTTTTATTACATTTAATGTGCCAGAGTGATATATATCCCCATTGACAATATTTTAAGAGGAAGACATGAAATAGAGTTTAAAATACTTCAATGTATCATTCTTTAGTCTGCTGCAAAGTAACATCAAAAATAACAATAAATATAATTTAGTTTGCATCAGACAAAAAAGCTTTCTGTTCCCACTTCCCTATAATATTAATTTTTACATTATCACGGGACGATACCTATAATTTCCTTTGATTTCTTCATGAAGTCAAATCAACTAATCGTACTTCGTATACATTTCAGATTAAAGTACTTTATATTTTGTCACATATTTAGTATTTATTGTCTCTATAAATTATATGTATAACAAAAAAAATATATTGTAGGCTAAGTTACAATGAGAAAAATTATCTAAAAAATATTTTTTACATTATATAATTGTTTATTAAAAACTTTTATGTATCATGTGATGCATTTAATATACATATAGACAAAATAAAAAGTACATCAATCTCTAATATTTTCAAAAATATTGTTTACGAACAATAAAAATTTATGAACTTACACTAGGATCGCAGTCGGCACAGTGCCAAGAATAGCCTCTCCTCTTTGGAGACTTTTTTACAGGTGGATCTAAGCATGTAAAGTGGTAGCACTTTTTACATTCGTCACACCTAAAACAAAAAAGAATAAATGCAAAAAAGTCATTACAATAACATCTTGCAATTCTAGAATATAATTCTAAATACTTTAAGATTTAAACATAATTATTAATTTCAAAACTTACATAACGAGATTTTGGTTGGTGCCGGGAGTATCACAGACATTACATTGCGTCATAAGGTCCGTATCTTTTCCTCTCTTCGTTCCCATCGATAGTCGACCGCTGCTATTAACAGACATGTTTACGGGAGGAACATTTACAGCTGGTGGTGGCAATGGTGGCACAGGTGATGGTGGTGGCAATGTGATTTCAGTACTTGTGGAAGTGGCTACAAACATTTGTGGGCTCGATTCTGAAGCGGCATCTCCTTCCGGTCGTGGAATTGATTTTATCTGCGTTTAATTTAAATTGTTGTTTAATGTTTGAATCAATAAAGCTAATACAGTTAAAGAGAAAAAACAAATAAATACTTTTATTGTAATTCTTCTGTGAAATTCTGGTTGACTTTGAACTTCTGGATTTTCTATATCTAAACTTTTCCTTTTATGTTTCCTTTTTCTTTGTTTGACTCCAGTTATTGGATCTGGAGAATACCTCTTATGTTTTTCCCTAAAATAAAATATTTATATAAATTAGATATATTTTTAAAAACTAATAATAAATTATTTATTCAGATTATTTTACACACCTCCTTCTCTTCTTTCCACTTCTTTGGGAGACAGATTCTGTCCCATCTGCTGAAGCTACCATGTATTCTGGTGAACCCTCTCTTATAGCGATATTATTAATGGATTGTTGATTATACATTGACTCAGTTGTCTGTGCAAGTTCTATAGTTGATGGTTGCGGTCCCATTGGTTTAATAGTTAACTACAAAGATGTAATTGTTTGTGTTTTACATATTAATGTATGTTTTACGCCACCGAGTTAAATCTCATTATTTATAAAATAAATACTTTTGGTGTGGCATGTGTATCAGGAGCAATAACGTTTGTTATATTGCTAGTGGAATTCTTAAGCGTAATAGGTGTGCTTGGAGTCATGGTTGCCTGCATTTCCTGTGGTGGTGTAGGTGTCGAATTGGCGTCATCCTTACAATGCCTTAATTTGCGTGGCGCTGATGTGTCTACGCGTTCCACTTCCGATCCTGATGATTCTTTATCACATTCTGAACACTGCCTGCAAAATTGCAATATTGAAAAATTTTAATATAATAATTTCAATAATTGAACTTATAATACTTATTTATACTTTCATGCATACCATCCCATCTGTCTTGTTTTCTTAGGCATTCGTGCTAGAGGTGGACTCAAACAGGACAAATGATAATGCAAATGACATGTGTCACATTTTGCAAGAAGATGCTGATTAGTCGATCGTCTACAGATACCGCATTGATGTCGTAGTGTCGTAAGCTCGTTTTTGTGATTTTGTTCTTGTGCCGCCTGACTGCTCAATACTCTACCCTCGCGTACACCTTCAACACCTTTACCCACAGGCAGCGGAAATCCAACGCCCATTTTTAAAGCGGCTGCCGTAGGTACGCCTAATCCTGTACCTATAAAATAAGAAACATACATCGTTATGTTCTTTATGTTTAGAAATTCAAATGATGTACTCTTACCAAGCGTAGGTGCTATTCTTGGCTTTGCTAAATCAGTGATTGATGGTAGAGATTTTGTGTAACCGGCGCTTTTAAGTACTTGATGATACAATTCGATCTTTTCTTTCAACGTCACGTTCACTTTGATCTGTTCCTCATTATCCTTCATTACTTCATCGTATTTTCTGTCCAGTTTTTGTTGTTCGTTCAATAATTGTGAATTAATATCGAGAAGTTCCTGTAATCGTCTCTTCATGGAAGTCACGCGCAAGTTGCGATCCAAATAATAGCCAATAAATTCTACGCTGAAGGCGGGAGCGATATGCCACTTCTTTCTAACGTCGACTAATGCTACCAGCTGAGATTCTTGTGCTTCCAATGCGGCTGTATCTACGCCCATCAACTCGGCTTTCTTTGCCAATTGGCGGCAAGCAGAAGCAGATGTAGTTAATAAGCGTGGCATCTTTTGTGTTGGCACTGTAATTAATGGTATTAAAAAAAATATATATTTAATATAATATATTTGTATGAAAAAAATTAACATACCCCATGGAGGTGGACGCGATGCTTTGTGAGCTAAATATTTATGTCTGTGTTTGGCCAATTTTCTTTGAATTCTACGTTGTTCGTCTGTATCTAAATGATTAGGCTGCTTTAACACCTGTTGTCGATATTGTGCACGCAATTGCAAAGCTAACCAATTACGTCTACGTCTACGAACGAGAGATTTATCAGAATGCAATTTGCAATGTGCATAGAATGGATCAGCTTGATCAACTTCTTCACTGTGTGCCTCGGATAGTAAGCCTTCTCTTTGTGCGCTGTGAAAATAATATTTTGCAATTTAAATTTGCATAACTTTGAGAATATAAATTGAGATGAGCGCTTTCGATGAAAGTATTACCATGTCACGTGAAAATATGTATGACACATTCCAGCATCACATTCGATACATACGCCTGTGCGTGCATAACGTGAATCTTCACACAAAGAACATGTCTTTGCACCCCATTTACTGTATGCCATCTCGAATAATGTTACGCTCGACAAACGATCAACCTAAAATATACAATTTATGAGATTATATAACAAGACACATGTTATTATATGAGACAAGATATGAAATTAATTTACTTCGCCGAAAGCAACACCAGGTACATAAAGAGCGCACACTAAATGAACCCATTTCCCGACATCTGTCTCTTTAAAAATTCCACCTCTGTTAGGACAGAGTTCGCATGATGGATCTTCGATCCCCGCACTACAAGCTTCACAGAACCATGGTGCTGATTGGCATAGGGAGTCAGTACTCGAAAAACTTTCTACATCAGATACACCATAGCAACCTGAAATTTAATGTTTGTTTATAAATATATATAGTATAGTATAAAAATAATTTTAAACATAATTTTTGAAATATTTTTAATAGAGACCTTCATGAACACTAACTCCACAACCATCGCATTCAACAATCTCATTTATGTCGTCACTTCTATCTCCTAAACAACCACAACAAATTAGCATTTTATTTAGTTTCTCATCAAGAGGAGCACCCTTTAAAGCTTGTTGGCGAGCTTGTTCGATAACATCTTCCACAGTCAAACCAGCATTGTCCTTTCCTCTCAACAATGGATCATCTAATGAATCATCGGATTCCTCGGATGCATCTTCCTCTTCTGTTATGAAAAATATGTCTCATTACAAATATTACTTACAAGATTATATATAAAACATGCAAATAAATTTTTTATATCATTTTATCTTCATAAAATATTCTTACAACATATGCACTTTAATTTCATTCTTTTCTTGCCATTAGTATATGAGACAATTTTATAATATTATGCAACACATAACACAAACATATAATATAATTCATATAACTCACCTTTGCCAACATCGTTAGAATCTACGGAATCATCATCTGATTCTTCACAATGATCCTCGATCCTAAAATCACTATCATCTGAACTCTCTCCTAAATCAAAGTCCAACAAAGATTGCTGTGCTGATTCCACTGGTTTTACTCTTCTCTTCTTGGGATCTCTCTCAACTGTAAAGAATAATTTGATTTTTTCTAAACACAGTATCCAAATATATTTTTGGAGAAAATATATTTATGGAGAA